TTTCCATGTATGACCATAGGCCTGGCATCTTTTGCACTGCGGTATCAGTCTTGAACTCTTTAATGGTTGGATCTCAACTCTCATGCTTAGTATATCCGTTATTCCAAAAACTTTGTTTATATCTTCATCCTGTCTGAATGTCAGCCTGAATAGCTTTGTATCCACTTCTTTGTAGATCTCTTACTATATCCTGTGGCTGAAAGGTATGATGTCATTTTTTAACAATTACTCTGATTGGTCTTTCTTGTTTGCTTTTCATATGTGATATGAAAAATTACTTGTATTTAAACACTTTATTAGTTCCCTGTATCGATCGCTGTCAGGTGTATTAATCTTTATCACTTCACTATTTATGACTCTTATAGTGAAGTTAATTCCAGCATTGACTAGAGTTTTACTTAAGTCAGCAGCATTTTTGAAACCTTCTACTATGACTGGTGGTGGTAGTTTTGGCTGGTATTTTCAAGCTGTGCTAATATTTTTTCCATTGCGACAATTATTCCATTTAATCGCTGATTATCTATATTAAGCTTTTTAACATTGTTTTCTGATTGGAACCAAGCATTGTGTAGTGCTTGTTCATTTTGCGAACATTGTGCTTTCTCTGCAAATAACGCGTTATTTTGCTAGACTAATATCGCCTCAGTTTCTGTCTGAATAGAAAACATTTTTATTATTAATAAAAATAAAAGCAAATACCTACTGATTGTCTTTTATTAATTGGTTCCACAATAACATAACGACTGTGAACTAGAACTCTGTTGTTTTGAATATTGTTGAAATGTTATGTTCATATTTTAAGTTTTTCCGATAATACTTTTATGCATGGTATTGCTGTTTTCATCATATTATTCCTTGAGGATCCTGTTCTAAGTTGTTCTGTTTCCTTCGGTTGATTCTTGAAAATTTGTTATTTATAAACAACAAAGCTAACAATGTTATTTATAAACTAAGAACGAATTTTCGTTAGAACAAGTAATTTTTGCTCTGTCATATAAGGATTTAATGATTCCCTTTTTAATATTAATGTGATTTGATTTCTAATTTAGATGTCTGTTGGTGTGTGTTGGTTTTCTATACACCTGAGTCTCATATCAGTATCCTTCTTTTTGATTAAAACATCCAGGAAAGGTAATTATATTCCTTTTATACAGTAAATGTTATTCTCTCTTCTTTATATCATTCAGTAATGTCTCCAACAACTCTGATCCATGCGACCATATTCAGAATAAATCATCTACATATCTCGACCATACTGAGAGTTTTAAATTTGGTTTAGAGATAGTATTTGTTTCAAAATCTTCCATAAATATATTGGCTAATAATGGAGATAAACCATTATTAAACCAAAATTTTGTTTATAGAATTCATTATTTAATATAATAGGTATTATCAGTTGAAAATAGGTATTATCAGCACGTAATGTCAAAAACTTCATTATAGCTGATACATTTAGTCTTATTCTAGTTGCCAATGTATGATCATTCTCTAATTTTGTTATGATTATTTTTTAAGTCTTACTAATAACAAATTTGTAAATATGTATTATGTCAAAACTTACAAAATATTTGAATTAAATTCCAATATAATGATTCCCAAAGTGGAAAACTTATTTTCAATTTAAATTGAGGCTTATTCCCAATAAAAGTAGTAATTGTAGTATTATTTGCCTGTCAGAATTTTGCTAAGTAACTAGTTCCCTTAATTTGTATTATTCCTTAACTTTTGAATAATGAATAAGTGAAAGGACCCTCCACTTCCAAGAAAGTCCAAAATTAAAGAAAGGCTATTATTTAAGTCTTTTATATAGTTTGGGTTTATCTTTTTTGTCTTTTGGTTGGTGTTTGTTTCATGAGAAGTCCCCCCTCCCCCAGTTTAAGTTAAGTTCTCCTCCCAAGGGAAATGTCTAGATCTGCCACTGCTTTTAAGGCAAAAAAGTATGTTTTACACCAATATGTCATTAAGTTTTGACTATATGGATGGTGTTCTGCAATAATAGTCTAAGCCGCATATATATGGTTCAGAGTAAATGAGCATATTGTCTCTACCTACTTTAAGAAATTCACTGATAAAAAATAAAGCTTTATTTTTACATTTTTATATTTTAATAATTACAGGCTACCTAAAAAATCGTACAAGAGCAAAATAAGTAAAACCAGTTTATTGCAAAAATAACTTAAAGCGGCTTAGACTGTTTTTGCAAAATTGTAAAAATATAAATATTCATTTTGCAATAACCGTCTATCCCTCCGACATGGTAAATACACAAAAAAACTTCGAATTCAAGTTCATTAGTAATAATAAGTAACTGTTACTTATTAAACTCCTACTCGATTTAATCTTGATCAATATCGAAATCAGGATTTAACCAAATTCCTTCCAAATCATACCTATAATATTCTTATCATATTCCTACAATATTTTGCTGACCAGAATTTTGACTATCAAGCAACAGTTCCAATATTTTATATAATAAACAACTGGTTTCGTTATTTGATAATGCAATTTTTTGTCAGCATTCATGGCACCAACATTTCAGTAATCGCAAAACATATTATGTTACCTTTTCGGTAGGTACTCTATCTATGATAAAAGAAATTTAAAAATTTCTTTAATCAATTGCCCAGCTCACAACACAGAAAATTCACAGTTTTATATAATATACTTTCGTATTTTACCATTAAAGATAAAGCCTCTAGTTTGGTGCAATTTTATTTATTTAAATAAAATTGTAATATTAGTGTAATAATATTTTTCTCGATAAAGATGTGTTCAATTTAATATTTTGCATCTGGTGCACACAATGAAAAGACTGTTACAACGATTTGCAAGAAGCGTCTAACCCACATATTTATAATGAAAACATGGGTTAGACTATTTTTACAAATTTCTGTTTTCATATTATTTGACAAATGTGGTTTAGAACTTAGTTCACAAACGCCTCCATGAGTATGGATATGGCTTATATCATTTTTGCTTGATGTAGTACGCATTATGATCGACAGTTTGACACGTCTAACCTCATTTGTAAACAAATGTGGGTTAGACGATTGTTGCAAAACACCGTCCATATAATCTTCCCCAATTTCAATGATGGATTTGTGCACTTTTCAGTGTAGCCAAAACATTATGGCATACAGATGTTTCAGATTTCAGCAGATATCCAAGTGTGCTTATACCATATGCAGTGTCTATAAGCAACCAATTGTATCAATTCAATAGAACATGGCAATGGAGGGGGAGCAGAGAAATACTCTACCAGGTTGGTTACCAGTGATACTGTGATGATTCTGTGTTGTGGTACCATATATATCACCAGTGATCAACTTTCTTGGTTTATTTCTGGACAATGTGTATCATCATTGATAATGGGCAGAGTATAGTTTAAATGACCATTAATATTGTTGGTATATAAAATCAGGCAAACAGAGTGTGCCAGTGGGAGGTGTGTGACCTAATAGTGGGCATTACAGGTGATTCATCTTAGTCAAGTAACAAAAGTAATAAAAAATAGCAAGAGATGACGGAAAAAGTTACTATTATTAAAACAATCACACATTATGTGTCTTGTACTAATAAACCTAACACATCTCTTATCTTGCCAGTTTCTGATAACCCTACCATTACTTTCTTTTCCCTTGATGTTACCTTTTTTCATTTTCTTTTCATCCAAAATTTCTCTTGGTATCCCTTTCATATATTTTGAATCTACCTAATCTAAATTGTTATAATAATTATCTGCATATAGAATATGTCTACTGTTAAGATAATCATTCAAATAAAAACAATTGTATTGATTCTTCATTCTGCAGTAACCCTGTTACTCTTTCCTTTATAAATTTGGGTTTCATACATATATCCACTTTCGTCACATAACTTAAAAATTTTCACGCCCTATTTTGAAGCTTTCCATGGAACTTACTGCCAGGACAATAACCTCTAAATGGTACAATAGATTCATCCATGGACACTATCTCTGCAGGAACCTTTAGTTGCTTAAAATTCGTGGTGAAGGCATTCATGAGAGGTTTTATTTTGTAACGATGATCATCTTTATTTGATGTTTAATTACCAACGAAATGCATAAACCGAAGTATGACCTGGAATATATTTCCACACATCCCAAAAAATTTTTTTGTCAGTTTACCAGCTGACTTATGGCACCTGTAAAATATTTTAGAAAAATTTTTATGATCAAAACACTGTTACAACAACCCACACCAGTTAAAAAATATCATACAAACTGAATAGCATGTAAAATAAATGTATTTAGATATAAAAGAAAATAAACTGAAAATACCGGAAAATCAGGTTTATCAGTATTATAATTGATAATCAATTAAAAAAAAACGTATAGAAATTATATTTACAACTAATGTACATACCCTTTTGCCTAAATAATTACCACAAATATGTAAAAATTTTATATTCTCGGTAAAGTAATAACATAATCATGTCTTCCACTTACCAATTAAACAGGTTCTAAATGAGCTTGCTTTCTTGCATACGCACCTAAACAAGCTAGAATTATTATTACACTCATAAATAATCCTAATAATAAGGCTAAAGTATCACCAAAATCGAACATTTTGCTGTATTATTTAGTGATTAAATAATTACATCAAAAGAAAGTATTTTTCTATTTTTTAACTTGCTTATATGTTTATTTACCTTTTACTTGTCAATCAGCAATCAGCTGTCTATTTCTTCTTTTTAATTTATCTCGTTAAGATTTTTCTGAGCATTGTTTACAAAAAATACAAAAAAAGTAAAAGTTTAAATATGTTATAAAGACAATTCCATCACTAAAAACAAACATCGTTGATTCATCTTTAAGGAGGGCTGTATGTCTTTGTAGATCCCCATTGTCTTGTCATCTCGTCATCTCAAAAAATGTTAATTTTGTTATTTTTCTTCTTTTTTTTTATAAACGTCTTTATTATGCAGCCCTTCCAGCTGTAAACCAGATAATTTATCAAGTGTCTTGTGAAATTTCATCTATTTAGGAAAATAATATATTTCTACTTATGTTTAATTTTATATTATTTTATTTTTTTCCGAGTTCATTATACTCGAGATTAGGAATCTTCATTGTTAAATGTGAAGTTAAATACAATTTGTTAAGAGTTTAAGAAATTATATTTTTTAGGTCACAGATTGAGTATTATAGCTATAGCTGCTTAATGAATTATTGAAAGTGCATCTAACATTTAAAATATGAATTCACACTTTGGAGATTTACATAAAGCACTGGCAAATGAACAGAGCAGCAAAAGTATTTATAAGGTCTTGTACAATATAAGGAAAGAAGTTGAATGGCCTAAAAACAAAGAAAATATTAAGAAAATACATGAAGAAGGAACAATTATTTATTTTATAAATAATCTTCAATCGTCTCATAAACATATTGTTGATTTGTGTCTCAGTATATTGGGAAACTTGTTTTTGGACAAAAATTGTGCTGAAGATGCAGTAAGTTTTTTTTTATATTCTACAGTTTTTATTTCATCTTAAACTTTAATTATATATTGGTCGATAATACTATACTTTTCTTGTGGAATATGAGCCACCCCCTGTCAGAGTTCTATTGTCATAATGAATTACTCCATATTTTCTTCCTTCTACTTATTATAGTCTGGTATCCTTTTAATCTGACCTTGTAAAATGTATTAAATTAGCACGCCTTCGATGGATAGGACATGTAATTAGGCGAGATGAAGATGCAATGATCAGAAAAATTTTTGACTGAAGAGAACCAGTGGGAAGACCACACAGAGGAAGACCAAAACTTAGGTATCAAGATAACATAGAGGACGATCTAAATTCCATCAGAGTTAAAGCATGGAGAAGAGTTGCCAGAGACAGGGGCGAATGGAATATTGTTCTGAAGAAGGCTTTGGCTGATGAAGAGCTGTAATGCCACTGGTGATGATCCATTTTAGTAATTACAATAAGCCTCCTTTTTTATATATTGTTCTTCCTACTTTCTCCATTTATCAGTTCCCATAACCATCAAATCCTTTATAACTTTCTCTTCCCAACTCTTATCAGCCCTTTATCTTGTGTTGGAGCCCGTTCAGCAAATCATTTTACATGGTTTTTCTTTTTGCACATATGTGTTGTAGTCTACAACCTTTAGTTTAAGAGTTACAAAAGTCAAAACCAAAAACGGATTTTTAAAAATTTTATTTTTTAACAAAATTTATTTTTGAGAACGTACAGGTATGTTAACAACTACAATACAAAAAGATCTTAATCTAATTAAACACTGATATATATATATATATATATATTATATATATATATATATATATATATATATATATATATATATATATATATATATATATCTTGTCTTGTCTTTCTATATGTCGTCACACATTGGATAATCCAGGGATGTAACTTAAGAACATGTAATATATAAATTAAAAACCAAAAAAAAACATCTTGCATAAATTTGCATTTAAAAAAATTCATATACAGGGTGTTTCATGACGAGCTTACATTATATATACATTGGAAACTACTTACATGATATTTATGAAAATTGATTTATGGGGGTTTACAGGTTATAAAGAACTTAAAGAAAATATTTGCATTGACAGGCATGCCACTTCTGGTTCTAACAACGAATTTGTTATTATAAATAGAACATCCCTTATATTATTACATTTCTAGCAAGATTCTAGACAAAATTTGTATAAGGGACTATAGGCCAAAACTTTATATTTTTTGAGATATTCATCTTTTTTCAAAAATTTTTACAGATAGAGACATCTTTTTCAAAGTTGACACCTTATCAATTTACAAACATAATACCTTGAAAACTTTTGCACACAAAGAGCAGGTAACATTCATTCAGTCTTTACATTGAAATTGCATTTCTCAATACAGGGTGCTCACAAATGATACGCCATTTAAGTATTTAAAATATAAACCACAGTAAAACAAATAATTTTAAATGCAACACCCTATATATTATAATTTTAGTCAAAAAAGCAGTCAATTGTCTTTCAAATAGTATTAGGGTTCTCTTTACCCAAAATTAATACTTTTGGAGATAATTGTGATTTAATGTTAAAAATAAAATTTTTATTGTTTTATTCTGGCTGTGTATAAAGATGTTATGTCTCATTATTTCTGGTTACTGGCACTTCTATAGAGCGATAGAAAGGGCTGTGTAGAATTAAACAATGAAGATTACGAAAATTTATTTTTAATACATGGAGAATGTGACAGAGTTATTACTAGAACATGTGCTTTATTTGCCAAAAGATATCCAGATCGACCACAAACCTCTCATGACACTGTAAAGACATGACTTAAAAATTTAATACATTTTGGTTGTTTCCAACAATAAGTTAACAAAGCGAAGCCTATTCTTGAAAAAGTAATGAAATTTGAAGAATATTATATCGTCTATATAGAAGTAAAACTCACTAACTGCAAAATAAATACAACAGAGATATTTAACATTTTGTTCGTTTTTTACTTTATAATTTTATTTATGATTATTATAGATAGAAGTGATATTATTTATGGGGGTTAGGTGTTACTTTACTATCCTGTTTTAAAAGAAATGATCATAACTCAATAATTTTAAAATTATTAAGCTAAATGTACTTAATGAATTTTACCTCAAACTATCATATTCCTGATTGGTACTTAGGGATAAAGTAACTAGATAGAAAGTGATGAAAAATGTTAATATTTCGTTTACTATTACAAATTATAATAAATTCCTGTATAATTGAACACAACATAACAAGATATAACAAAAAAACTTATTTTAAGGATGAATTTATGTTGAATCTTCTGATTCCTCATCAAAATTCGGTTCTGGTAGGTTTTCATTTGTAGAGGTACTTGTTGGTAGATTTTTATAATAATGATGAACTTCATCTGGTATGAGATTGTCGTTGCAAAGTTTGACTAGATCTCGTTTCTTCAAAGTTGAAATTGGGAGTAAATCGTTATAGAGAGATTTTAATCTTATTTCTGAAATATCCCGATTACTCCTTCTTCCTGGACCACAAGAAATAATTAATTTTTTATACGGCGATGAATGGTCATATCTAAAAAAAATCACATCGGTATGTTCTTTTACAAATTTGAAGCATTTAATTTTTAGCCAGGATACTGTGCAGCCATCTTCATCTTTCGTTCTATTTTTTTATTATCGTTCGTGCCAAATTATTTAGATCATAGAAATCGGTATATTTAAGTTCTCGTACTGCATACGGCTCCTTCTGTAACCTTTTCTGCCGTGCTAACCTAAATATTTCCAGCCAATCGTTCATGATAAAAGCTGTTCGGTTTTTTTTAGAATGCTCTATCGCCGAATGCATAGAGTCGCACTCCATATGACTATGTCCTGACTCCAAAAATTTCTGTTCTATGCATTCCAAGTGCGTAGTATGCACTGCATAGAGAAGTGCAGCAGCTACTTGTTGGTTTCTATTTTGACCTCCACAAGTGTCTGAAAACAACGATATTTTCAGAACTGTGGAGGGTAAGTTTGTAATATAATTTAACAGAATAGATCCAATTTCGTTGCTACCACGCTTTCCATTAACTTCATTCCAGCAGTAGCAAGATGCGTGCTCACCATCTCCCTCATAAATGGTTAAATTGTATACACACAATTTTCGAGAGTAGTAAAATGGGGATTACTGGGGAGTGAGGTAGTTGCAATACACTTTGAAGGTCGAATGTTGCTGTTTTAAATGTCTTGTCATTTTGAGATAACTTTTTGTCTGTATTTTTTGCTTCATGGCATTCATTCTTTCTTATTATGTGCATTGAATATTCTAGTTCTAAATCTTGTTTTTTTTGTTGCATCTGCCATGTTATATTTACTGCATGCTGCACATTGATCCTTTTTAGGAACGAAAAAAGAGTAATTATAGCCATTGCCAAAAATTTGCCTGTATTTCCAATGGCTGACTGGCTTTTGATTTTCAGCTAGACTTTCGAGATAGAGATTGTACATTTTTTTAATTGATAATTTAGAGTCTAAATACAGTCTTTGACTGGTGGCCCTTGTATAATGTGACTCTACAGCAGGGAATGACTCTATATGGTTTTTTACCAGTTGGATAGACTCTTCATTAGTAGCGTTTGCTGGGATTTTGCGACCCCTTTTATCTTCACTGAAAAAACAACCTGCTGAATTGGTTCCTTGTAAGGCCGTGTTTATGGGACCATTAGAAATGCAAAGAGTTCTCTCAAAAAACTTGGCACATACTCTGTGCCGTCCTAAGGGACTTTCAAGGAAGTACAATCTTGAAACCGTTTTGTTGATAACATTATTTTTTAAACGTTTTGGCTTAACCGGTTGTAACATTTTTTATTATAAAATCTTTTTGCCTCTTAAAATCATTGAAAGACCAATATGATTGACACAATGTCTTCCTATCCTCTTCATTAAAATTTAATGAGCATTTATATCTGCAATTTGTACAATCAACAAATTTGGGACCCTTTGCATTGCATTGTTTAAATTTGTTATAATATGGCTCACATTTGGAACGCTTCTCTTTAGTAATGTTTACTTTCCAGTTCTTTTCATTTCGTTTTCGCCTTCTTGTTAATGTACATTTTTTGGCATTAATTTCTGTAGCTTCATCGGAGTCTGATAAATCGGAGATATCTGGTGTCGGAGAAAGAGGTGAATTTGGTGGTCTGAAACAGGGGTCCATTTCTATGTCATCAGAAGAAAAATCACTGTCACTGCTTGACGAATACGGAACGATTTTTAATGTATGTTGTTGTCTTTTTACTCTTGCCATTACAACATCCTCTTTCGACACCTGAAATACAAAAGTTAATTAGTCTTTGCATGATGATAATCCAATGGAGTAATTTTATGGAGGCCTATGTTCAGCAGTGGATGCAACATCGGACTGGATTTTTGTGATGATGACTTTGGGATGAATTATGACGAATTATTTGGATAACAAATATAATAAGTAATCTGTATTTCTTTACCTTATCTGGAACAGTCTTCTCATCCTCAATGTGACCAAATAACTCATTGATTTTTGTTTGTTGAAATGACTGCACATTCTGGAAATTAAATACAAAATTCAGTAACTACATACACACATAACTTATTATAAAAAAAAAACGTTTAAACACTAGGCAGGAAGTAAATATTTACATTTTTTGTTAGTGTCATTGGTTTTTCATTTTCTTTATGTAATACACTTTCGACCATCCTAGTTGTTCTGGAACTGGCAAACACTCGTTTAATACGATTTGAAAATCTCTGAAATAAAAATTAAATTGTTTTAAAGTAATTTTAAACTATGTCACTTGATATTACATACCTCAGAACTCGTAGAAGGTTTTGATGAATCAAAAAGTTTGTCTGTAAAAGTTTTTTTTCATTTTGGCTATTAATTTGGCACAAACTTTCAAAGAGACAGCGTATATTTACACTATATTATTATACTTCTAACAATTTTACTAACAACTGCACACATCCACAGAGACTAAAACCTAACCTCAAACTCTCATTAAGTACGCAACTGTCAAACTACAAAACCCCGTATTAAAAGTATTGCCATAGAGGTAAAAATCATTAAGTACAACCTGACTTTTACCTCCCAACGAAATTTAGACAAAGTGCACTGAATGTTTTTTACCATTCTATAACTGCCTTATTATTAGACGTAGCGCCTAGTGAGTTTTACCACGCGAAAGTTTAGATGTTAAATGTTACTTACTGATACAAACATGGTTTTTGAGCTAAAATGTCACTTAGTGAGTTTTACCTCTATATAGACGATATGATGTGAAGAATCTAAATTTAAACAAAAGGAATTTTTAATACGCTCAATATGCATTACTAGAGTGAAGTAAATCAACATTTAATTGTGGTTTTCAAGAGCGATGGGAGTTTAATGTCTTTCATGGTCAGAAAACAACCAGGTTGTAGCTCTTCATTTTTATGATGGAAACTTAAACTACTTTTATTTAAGTGAAAGATATTTCAATTGATTTAAAGAAAATTTACAAATACCTCTTTGTTTAATTATTCTAAACAAGCCATTTCTATGTAAAAGTGCACATAATCAAAAATAATGACAATTATGACATCCTCATACAAGAGACATTAAAAGACAATTTCTTGTTTTAATAAAATTCTAAATACAAGGTGTTTTATTTAAAATTATTGACTTACCATACTTTGAAATTCAAAGAAATGGCATATCATTTGTGAACACCCTGTATTTAAAAATTCAATTTCGATGTAACTTCCAGAAAGAATGTTACCTCCTCTTTGTGTACAAAGGTTTTCAAAACATTATAATTGTAAATGAATGAGATATTTACTTGTCAGTAGTGAGTCTCAACAGTGAGTCTCTATCTCTCAAAATTTTTGAAAAAAGATTATTAACTTAAAAAATATGCAATTTTGACTGATTGTACCTTATAGAAATTTTATCTAGAATCTTACGCAGAATCTAAAAGTTCAATAATACACAGGGCGCTCTATTTAGAATAACAAAGTTGTTGCTCACTTTCGGTATAACCGGAAGTGTGTTAAAATATTGTCTTTAAGTTCGCCATAACTTGTAACCCCCATAAACCAATTTTCTTAAATATTGTGTACATAGTTTCTGATTTATAGATAGTGTAAGCTTTCCGTGAAATACCCTGTATAATAAAAAACATTAAAATTATACAAAAATTAATAGTTTGGAAATACCAAAAAAGTAAACAATTTTTAAAAGTAAATAGAAAAATATCAGTGTACAAAATGGATACAAAAAGCACAAAAAAGGATAAATTCTAATTGTTTTTAAACAGGAAATTTTTTGTAGCATAGAGTAAACATTCTTTATCTACAATGAGTAAGTAAGTATATCATATTGTGAGTAAGAAGTATTTTCAAACAGTTGCTGAAGTTTTGTACATAACCCTCTGACATTCTGAAAATACACCAGCGCTTTTGAAGTCTCGACTGAGAGGGTTTTGAATCTGGTAGATATGTTTAGTTTTTTCGTATTAACTTTGGCACACCAATGTTTCAAAATGAGATCGGATTCACCCTTACTCTGTCTTTCTTTTAACTCATTGTTTAGTGCATTGTTTAGTGCAACAATATTATAAATAACTTGTTTTTGGTTGTATTGGTTTTTTCACTTATAAACAATTAGCACTAATGAGCTGGATTTTAATAGATGTTGACACTTCGAAGGTTCAAATAGTAATTTTGTAAAAAAAATGTTGTTTAAATTGCTGATTTTTTTTGTATAAGAAAGGAAAAATACTTTCATACCCATTTTGAACAATTATAATTGTTATTAACAGCAGTCTGAGAAATTTTGTAGTGGGCATTAAAGCTTAATTTTTTTCTCTATTTCAATTTATTTTTATGATTAAAATGTTTGTAATTAATGTACCTAAATTTTATTTATATTATCTATTAGATAAGTTATTAGTAAATAATATAAAAAATATTAATTCATTGTTAATTTACAATTCAGTGTATAAATGACTAAAAAATTACATTAACATTGTTTTTCATTTTGAAAAAAAAATCAATTCAAATCATGAAAATTATAATTATAACTTGAAAATACTTTTTGAGATATGCAGGATAAAATGTTAAAAAACATGAGTTCATAACTTTGATTTGTAGCTCTAATTTTTTTTCTGATTTTCCCACAAATGTTTACATTACAGCAGGTTAAAATTAGAGGAATCCGGTTAGAAACAACTTTTCCAAGATATTTCTTCTAAATTCTAAGTTCCATCTCACTATAACCAACCCTAAAGAGATCTGATCTGGGTTAATATTCTTCTAAGACAATGCATTTTAATTTAGAATCGAAACATGAAATATATTTTGTATGATTTTGGTTTATATAAATTTATTCTGTGCTAAAACATACTATAACAAACATAAATATCAACAATAAAGTTCACTTTATGACAAAAACAACCTTATACAACATGGAGGACAACACTATATTAGAAAAAAGTGAATCAGACACAAATCAAACCCTACAGGAGAATAGGTTTAGCAAAGGCATAATTTGAGAGATTATAATAATTATTACTTGGTCTATGTAATAAAATAAGTAATAAAAATAAATAAAACTTTACAGAAGAATATGTCTAGCAATGACCAAAGTATTTCCTCCATCGAAATGTACAGAGCAGATATTCTAATGCTCAGCTGACAATGATGTAGTAAGTAGGTCGTGGAACTGGATATGTTAGAAACGAGATAGAAATCATACTAGGCAATTAGTATCATACAATATTGTGAGTTTTAGGTAACTTTTTCAATATATATTTCATGACTAAGCCACAATGGATAAAAATTGGGAATGATGAAATATGTACACAGAAGATACAGGAATTAAGAAAGATCTAAAACAGGATGAAAGGATTACTCATAACGACCAACTAAAACTGCATTTGAATATTTTTTATTGACCAAGTGTTTTAATGAATTCATTATTTTTAGTTCCTGAAATATGAAGTGTTACCAGTTTTGATAAAGGTCTTAAAACGTTATGCCAAGGAGGATAGTATAATTGGAAGATCATATAAAGCAATAGGCAATCTATGCCAACAACTAAATGACTGTGCAATTACAATTGTTCATGAATCACCTATTATAATACAATTGTCTGAAGTATTAGAATCGTTTTCTAATGAAGCAGAGGGTAACAATTTATATTCTGAAGCTACAATAACAATGGCCATAAGAGCATTAAGGTAATTTTTTCAGTTATTTTATTCATGATTTATTGGTTAAAACAAAAGTCTGCATTTGCTTTAGATTTTGCCTTTTACAGGTGATTTTACACAAATGCCTTTTTTTTAACAGTTCACAATAATTCAATAACCATAAAGCTCACAATAATTCAATAACCATAAAGCTCAGTTCATTTGCTACATGCAGCTGAACAGGTGTCGCCCTCTATAGATTATTATATCATCTTCTTCTTCTTTGGGTGCCGTGTCCGTATTCAGACGTTGGCCGTCATCATGCTTACAATTTCCTGAAACCTTTCTCTGTCGGCTGCTGCGCCGACATTATATCATCACCATCAGATTTATACAATTGAAAACATTTATAAATCTGCAGTAATAAAATAAAAAATGTGTAATTGATCGTAATTATTGTCTGTATATTAATTATATCGTTATAGTATTTATGTACTACCAATAGTTTTGTTTAACATCAAATTTGAATGATATTTTTACAAACACAGTAAGTTTATAGATTATAATCATTTTACTAGCTATTATATTAACTAACTATTATATTATACTAACAACTATTATTTATATTTTTTGGACAATACTAAAATAATTTATATTTAATATTTATTATACCAATTTATATATTTACAGAGATTATCTGTGCTAAGAAATGAGTTTAAAAGTAATTATTTGAGTAATGATGTTTTGAGATCCTAATCCTAACCTCACTTTGTGTCCAATTGTAAATACAGATTTACTGTTTTAAATATATAAATTGAGTAATTTTTTTTCTGTTTCTAAATCAACTTTAATGTCATTAAGGAATAATATTAATACAGTCAAAATCGTTTACAACGACACCGGCTATAACGTACAATTGGATATAACAAACAAAATAGTAGGTCCCATAACATGACACACAAAAAACGCATTTATATTGCTTATAATGAACAAATCGGTTAGAGCAAACGTATTTCTTGGAACACTAGCAGTTAACATTGTATTGGTTACAGCGTACAATTCCAAGGGCATATCTGCACCTCAGATGATACAACATTCATTTTTTTTTCAATTATGACATTTTTACACACTGTATAATAAATAAATAATAAATAATTATAACCAACCCATGATGGAAATGACAGTAGCTACAATGTTCAATATAATTTTGTTTCCACATCTTAATAAATAAGTTTAAAAGTGTTATCGTGTAAAGTTATGAAAATGGACATTGTAGTGTTGTATTTCTCACAGGTATTACCGATATTTAGTACCACGAAATGAGAAGTAAGGATTAATTAATTTATGTTTATAGTACATCCGCGCAGGCATCTACACTGATTACTTGTCCTTTAGACATTTATACCTCCCAAGACGGGTCCATTGTATTAAACAATTTTGTTTATATTACACCATTTGGCCCAGGACAAGAGTTTCTGAATTTGAATTCAGTTGTGTCTAGCCTTCATAGAAAACATGTCACTGAAACAATTTACTATTGCGGAACATTTTGGAATAGTTTGCCGAGTCGATTCCGGTGATTCAGCGTGTTCGATTGCCAGGGAATTTAAAACGTCACGCTCAACAATTGCTGAAATGATGAAACGCGGAGAGAAAATTATTATGCAATTTAATAAGTGTAAAAAAGGAAAACGCGTTCGGTCATCAAATCACAGTGACATTGAAAGTGCTTTGCTCTATCGGTTCAAACAACAACGCACAAACAATGTACCCGTGAGTGGGCCGATGCTTCAGGTAAAGGCTGACGCTGTAATTTTGAAGAAGGATTTTAAGTGTAATGCTTCCTGGGTTCAACGTTTCCGAGCTCGCCACAATATTGTCATTGGAAAAATTTCAGGTGAGTCAGCAGTTGTTGACAGATCAATTACAAATGACTGGGTTGAAAATGTGTGGCCTACACTCAAGTCTGGCCATAGCAATGATGAAATTTTTAATGCTGACGAGATGGGGTTATTTTTTAGACTGACACCTGATCACACGTTAAAGTTTAAAGGGGAGAAATGTTCCGGTGGTAAACTCTCAAAAGAGCGAGTCACAGTTCTTGTTGTAGCCAACATGTCCGGTTCTATAAAAAGGAAGCTTTTGAAGTTAGGAAAAAGTAAAATGCCGCGCTGTTTTAAAAACGTGAGAAATCTCCCTGTTGATTACGATTTCAATAAAAAAGCTTGGATGACGTCGGCTTTTTTTGAAAAGACTTTAATAGAAGGGGACAGTGAACTTTTACAACAAAAGAAACACATTTTAATTTTAATTGTCGACAACTGTCTGTCCCAACCCCAGTTGACCGGTTTAAAACAAATTAAACTCGTTTTTCTGCTTCCAAATTGTACGTCCTTACTGCAGCCCATGGACCAAGGAGTGATAAGAAGTCTTAAACCATGCTTTCGGAAAGAATTGGTGTACAAAATCATCGAAAAGAGAGAGAATAACGACATTACGAAAGTCAGTATTCTTGACGCTATACTAATGATATTAAAGGCATGGGAATCTGTGCGGAAGGAAACGATCATTAACTGTTTTCATTTTTCCGGCGTAACTAAGGACTTACAACCATCATGAATCGCATACAACGATATATGTACAAACGCATTTGCAGGATGCCGTTTTCCTTTCCAGTTCTGACTGCTTTGCAGATGACTATGTACGAGTGGATGACGAAATAAGTACGAGCGAAGAACTGTCAGATATTGACATCATAATAAGTCACCAAACTAGTGACAAACAAAGTATTGATGAGGCCGATGAAGAATTGGAAGATTTCGACAAAATCCCTACTGTTGTTGAAGCGTATGCTGCTTGTTCCACCATAAGAGCGTTTATTCAGATTGCTGAAACATCGCAGAGTATGAAAGAATCATTATCGATTGTTTCCACATCAATTGAAAAAATGTTTTTTTTTCAGAAGTTTTTTTTTTTTCAAGGAAGGCGACAAACAAAAATTACAGACTTTTTTCATTAAATATTCATTTAAAATGTTGTATTTACATATATTGTAATACATAAATGTATGTATTTTTAAAAATAAATAGTAATATGTATGCCTACATTTCTATAATACATATATATATATATATATATATATATATATATATATATATATATATACATATATATATATATATATATATATATATATATATACATATATATACATATATATATATATATATATATATATATATATATATATATATAATATATATATATATATATATATATATATATATATAGATATAGGTAAGCGAGGTTCCTACAGCCTCTGCCGTTTCTCGCATTTCGACCGCCATCGTTTTCTGTCCATCGTTTTCTATGTTTCTATGTTACGTTTTCTAATAATTATATGAATAATTAATTAATTATAAGTTTTAAACATCTTAGTGTGATGACAAATTTGTCCGATATGACCCCTTTAAACGTGTCGTGTATCTCCTCCCGTCAGCTGCATAGAACGAGTAGAGCAAAATTTTAACTTTTTTTGGGGTGCAAAATGCACCACATCTTGAAACCAAACCTCACAGATTTATTTCTAATGAACATCTTACAAGGATGTCGTCCAAAATATGGCACCATTTCTTCATCAATTGCCATCTCTCCTCCATCTTTTCTTCTTATCCGTAGTGGCGTCATGTAATTTGTTTGATTATTTCTGTCCAATTATCTCTCTCCTGTGCGTGTTGTTTTGTTTCGGAGAATGAGTAACCAGTCATGTCCTTTATTTGGTCCGATCATCGTACTAGAGATCTTCTTCTGGATCTTGTACCCGCTACGTTGCCTTCAACTATCATTCGCTCCATGCCTTGTATTCTTCTAGTTATGTGTCCAAAATATCTCAATATCTCAGTATTTTGGTTGATAGTTGTGATAAGTCTAGTTTTTATGTTAAGTTCTGCTAGAATTGAGTTTTTGTGCGATGGGCGGTTTATAGTATGCGCAACATTCTATGGTAGATCCACATTTCAAATGCCATTATACGCTTTGAATCGGCTTTTTTTATTGCCCAAGTTTCTGAAACATGGGTGGCAATAGAAAATATCGATGCTCGAACAAGGTGTAATTTTGTGTTTTTTGTGATGTGTGTGTCAGTGTTCTTCCAAATTTTTGTGACTTTGGCTGTTGCCGATCTGGCCATTGTGATGCGTCGACGGATCTCGTCTTCGCATCCTCCACTGTTACAGGGAGCGCCCACCAAACTGACGTGGCAAGTAGCACGTAGCATGTAGCACGCGTCTAGCATGTTTCTTAAAATGTAACCAATGAAAACGAATGATTAGAATGAATGACGTCACTGTCATTTTGGTGTGCGCTGAATCATTCGTTTTCATTGGTTACATTTTAAGAAACATGCTAGACGCGTGCTACTTGCCACTTGCCACGTGTCACACCACTTTGGTGGGCGCTCTCACTTAGTAATAACGTAGACTAAATAATTCAATTGCGTGACCACATCGTAACCTGCCATGTTTCTTATCTCTGCTTGGTTGTTTCTGATTCTATGGATGATCATCACTTTAGTTTTCTGCATATTTATTTTCAAACCATATTCCGTACTCACCGTGCCTAGCCTATTCATAATTTTTTTCTCCGCCAAGCACGTATTTCCATATTTCTCATATCTTGATCTATGTTATCTAGGAATCTTGTTCTGGGTCTTCCTCTTCTTCTTTGACTAATAGGTCTATCAAGGAGCGTTTTTCTATCTGGGTAGGTTTGCTCCATCCGCATTACATGGCCTACCCACCTCAGACGTCCTATCTTAATGTGTTTTACGATATCTGGTTCTTGCTATATTCTATAGAGTTCGAAGTTGTATCGTCTTCTCCAGACACTATTTTCATTTACCGCTCCATAGATTCGCCTTAGTATTTTTCATTGCTTTTTGTTAAAGTCCAGGTTTCTGAACCATATGTTAGGACTGGGCGTATTATTGTTTTGTAGTTTTACTTTTGTATTTCTTGATATAACTGTAGATTTAAAAAGGAGATTAAGCCCAAAATAGCATCTATTAGCTGTGCAAATTCTACGGTTTATCTCTGGGGTAGTGTCATTTTTAGTATTGACGAGCATTCCCAAGTATACAAATTCGTTAACTGCTTCGATGACGTCGTTTTCTATAAGTGGCCATCTTTGTAGCCGCTTCCTTTAGTGCTATGTACGCCTCTTGTGCTGCGTTTTCTGTTCTCCCAACAATATTGATATCAGCATATGCTAAGATTTGCACAGATTTGTTATATATTGAACCGGTAGTTGTGATTTGTGACGTACGTATTACTTTTTCCAGAGCTAGATTGAATAGTATACAGGAGAGGGGGTCTTCCTGACGTAGCCCGTTATTTGTTTTAAAAGTTTCAGAGAGTTTCCCCTGAATTCGTACTCTGCATTCAACTTTTTCAAGGGTTAGTTTGGTTAGACGTACCATCTGATTTAGTACTCCTAGGTCTATCATTGCTCTAAAAAATTCTCTTCTGTTTACAGAGCCGTAGGCTGCCTTGTAGTCTATAAATATGTGGTGCGTGTTTACACCGTATTCCAGTATTTTCTCTAGAATTTGTCTCAATGTTGAAATCTGATGAATTGTTGATTTACCACCTCTGAAACCAGCCTGGTATTGTCCTATTATTCGCTCTGCATATGGTGGCATACGATGGCATAATATATTGGAGAATATTTTATACGCTGTATTTAATAGAGTAATTCCTCGATGGTTAGAGCATTCAAAGATATCTCCCTTTTTGTGTATGGTTCAAAGTATTCCAATATTCCAATCACTGGGAAGGGACTTCTGTATCCATATTTCTTTTATAAGCTGCTGTAGCGCTATTATGATATCGTGGCCACCTTCTTTATATAATTCCGCTGGGAGATTATCTATTCCGGGCGCTTTGTTTCTGGCTAGTTTTTTTACAACGTCTTTAACTTCCAGGATCGTTGGTGGATCCTCCTCCCTCTCTTCTGTTCCGCTTACCTCACAGCTTTCGTCTTCCGGGGTTTTCTTCTTCTTCCTCTATATTAAGTATCTGGTTAAAATATTCCGTCCATCGGTTTAGTACGTCTGTTCTTGTTGTCAATAGATCGCCATTCAGACATTAATTTGTGTTTGCCTTGAATTCCTTCTCTGTGCTGAGGTTTTCTATATATTGAAGTTCCTTTTTTAAGTGGTTTCGTTTCTTCATTCTGTGTATTTTCTTTTCTTCTCTTCTCTTTGTCTGGTAATTCTCTATACTTGTTCTAGTTCGGCGGGTAAGCTTTTTTGCATAGGCTTCATTTTTTTCTGTGTTGCGTCTTTGCATTCATCGTCAAACCAGTGATTTTTTCGGGTACAAGTTTCTGCTCCTATTTCATCTTGTGCTGCTGACTCAATATCTACCTTTATCCTGTTCCAGTAGGAGTCTATATCTCTCTGATCTTCTTCGCTTAGACTTTGATTCCTTAACCTATTGGTAATATTTTCCCAGTACCGTTTTGCAACTGTTGCATCTCTCAGCTTATGTACATTCCATTTCTTTCTATCTATTTTTTTTTCTTTGTTGGAATTTGAAATTCTAGCCCTTAGTGTTGAAATCACTAAACAATGGTCTGAGTCTATGTTTGCGCCTCTATAACTTCTGCAGTTCGTTATGTTCGTTCGGTGTCTTGAATCTATTAAGGTGTGATCGATCTGACTAGTTGTTCTTCCATCAGGGAAACTCCTGGGTTACCTTGTGTCTATTCTTGTGTTCAAAATAGGTGCTGGCGACGGTCATGTTCAGTGCTGCTGCTAAGTTTCCAGCTGACGCTAATCAGTCGTAATCCATTATCATTACTGATGTTGTGTAGGCTATGCCTTCCTATAGTCAACATAAAAAGTCGCTCTCGTCCTATTCTTGCATTCATGTCACCTAGCACTATCTTGATGTCATTTCTGGGGCATCCTCTGTAGGCTTGTTCTAGGTCTTCGAAAAACTGTTCTTTAATGTCTCCTAGTTTGTCGTCGGTCGGGACATGTGCATTAATTAAACTGTAATTAAAGAATTTACCTTTTAAGCGTAAACGCATCACCGGCACAAAATGGGTTAAACAAAATATTATAAATAAACATCCAGAGAGCCTTCCAACTTTAAAAAGAAGTTATGGAGTTTTCCAAAATGGTCGATTTTATCAGTTTTTTTACTTTTTCCGAAAAATGCACAGATATCGTTTTATAAGAAACTATTTTTAGTTTTTTAACTCTCTACAAAAGTCCCATTGACCGTATTGCGCTTAAATTACTATTACATTAAGATTCTCTATACTCTAAACAAAAAAATATATCACGTTTTTGTTTTAGATTTTTCCATATAGAATTCGAGGAAAAGCTAATTTGTGTCCTGACATAGGTTTTTATGTTCTACGAACCACTTTTCAAAAGGTAGTAGAGGTGGTTTGTTGTTACATTTTGAAAGTCAAAAAACTCTACAGTTTGATTTTAATTTTTTGGGGATTTTTCTACTACACTTTCTATTTCATCATATCTGCACTATATCTACGATGTGCATTTGTACCAAATTTATCATCTTAAGCAAGGCCTCGTTAGTAAATTGGCGTGGGCCCAGGTAAAATTGCTCATGCCAGTGGTAAATTGTAATTGCCCCTTTTACAGCATTCCTGACGTCCATATTTCGTCTAATTGCTCTTCTCACTGCTAAACCAATTAAGACTTTGTACACCAACTTCTTCTTCCTCCAATTCTGCGTGTTCATTGGCGGATTAATACCTCTATGCAAGGTTTTCACTCCATCCTTTGCGTATTTTTCACTTTTGTATTATGTATGTATGTATTAAGCTGTATGTTACATTGTCTTCTGATGTATTTACTCCTCTTTGTGTGCCGGGTCTTGTTTCTGATGCATACACTGGTTTAATAAATTCTTGATTTCGTCTTAGTGTTGATATGTCGGTTTGGATATATAGTGTTATTAAGGCATCCTGTCATTCTTTTTGCTTTTTGTAGGTACTTGATCTCTTACTTCTTTCTTCAGTCGCCATAACTAGACAGTGTAATACCAAGGTATTTTACTTCTATTATTTATTCAATGCTTACGCAATCATAACATCTGACCCAATAGCTACATAGACCAAATTAATACCGAATCCGAACAGTCGGAGGAATGCAATTCCCTAGTATTCATGTGCTTTGTCGACTTCAAGAGAGCCTTCGAAGGAAAATGGGAATACCAGAAAAAATAATTAATCTCATCACACAGCTCTATACAGATACAGAAAACAAAATCCTAGAAACATAAATATATTATCATCCAATATATAAGCAGTCAATATCGCTACCTTGGAAGAATACCGTCGTATCTCAAAAAAGTGAAAAATACACTGTTAGTGAGCAGATTTTAAATATTCTATATTTTTTTTTGTGTTAAAGTAGTAGTGTAAAAGTGTCGTTATTATTATTAACATAAATAAGAATCCTTATGACTCAAATATTTAGGGGTAGACTTAGCTAAAGTTCTTTAAAATATTTTTTAAATGAAAGCAAGTTTTTTTAACTATAATTTACTGCAGAATATCAATATTTTTTAGTTTTTACATTACAGTGCCTTTGTTCTTATTTTTATGTGACAAATGTACATTTATAAAAAAATACGCACACTTTTTTCAACGTCATAACTCAAAAATTTTGTGGCCTAAAATAGGATTAAAGAAGTATGGAATTGACTATAACTTTTTACAGGCTAGTACACACCAAAACCAAAATATTAGCCTGTTCGCCGTTATGAATAAAGTTGTATGATATTTTTAAAATTCACCGATTTTTTAAGTGGCTATTTTTGAAAATATATATGACGGTCTTCTTCCAAGATAGAGATATATATTTGGTAATATCACTATTCTATAATAGGTACCATTATATAACGACTACCAATATTATATAGGATTGATATAGCAGAAATAAAAAAATAATTCCATTTTATACCAATTTGTAACATTGGAAATATTTCTTCTTTTGGGTGGATTGCATATTTTGATTTTAAAGTATTTTTAAAACTTTTTTTAGATGCTTTACCAATTCGTCAACTGCGAGAATCCTAACAGAAAGATATCAAATTTTGTCAGCTATAGGTGGCGTTCTTATAAAATTGTGTAATGAGTGGACACAGAATAAGACTCATGAAAAACTTTTAGAAAATATAATTGATATACTCTACGGTTTTTCTAAGTATAACGATTACAAAGTTATAAATGAATTAAAAAATACAAAGAAAGGAAATGCAATGGAGAAATTGGCCGATTTGTTAACTTTGAATAATAAAAAGATAATGAAAATTATTATGAATTTTATTAAGATTAGTAAACTTAAGTCTGATCTCCCGGTACCAGAGATTGTTAATAAGTTTGTTGACGAAGTATTTGGAAAGTATATTGATCCAGAAAATGGTGGTATGTATATTTTCTCTAATTAAATTTTATAAGGTCCTTATTCATAAATGGTTTTGCCTATAAAAGACAGACTAAGATTCGATGAATATATTTTTATTTTTAATTATTTATTTTTGTTTATATTAGTATCTATATACACACACGCACATTATATATAATATATATATATATATATAATATATATATATATATATATATATATATATATATATATATATCGTCACAGAGCAACATGCCTTAACGTCATTTTCTAAGTTTTTCAGACGAGCGAAATAACTCATTATCCCTTAATAATTCCAATGAAACCTTACTTACCAGATAAAATCTTGTTTACTTTATTTCTAAAATTTCAAAATTTCATTTTATATACTTAACTATCCCTTAAGTACACCATCGACCCCATTTAACACAGTTAACACTTAAGTTTGATAATTTATTTAAAAAAAAATGGTAAGACAAGAAAACAAGGAAAATACAGTCACAAGAAGCTTAAATTTAATGTTTCTAATTACACCTAATGCTTCTCAGATTTTTTTTCTTGTTTTTATTTTCTTCTGCTTCTTTTTTTCTTTTTGTTTTCCTTTGATTGATATTATCGTGTGGGAGTGAATCGTAGAAGCTATGAGTATCTTTACTCATCATGGGCTTTAGTGATTGAAGATCTCTCCATTTGTCCAAAGTTATATTCAGAGGCTTTTTGAAGAGCTTGGGGAAAAGTAGAAAGGATCTTGCTTTTGGGGTGGTACGGGCAACGAAGCAAATTCATTCGTGTATTTTAGTTTGTAATAAATTTTTCCTTCAGGCCTGTATTGGAGAATTCTTAAATCCGTAACAGTAGACTCTCCAGGTTAGGTTAGGTTGGAAGATATATCCTTCCATCCCGATCGGATGGAAGGATATATTTTTGATGTATTGCAATCCTTGAAGAATTCGAAATCCACCTGTTGAGCTCTGTAAAGATTTACTTGCTGAGTTTTCTTTCGAGCTACTTTTGATAATGCCACAAATTGACTAGGTAGAAGAACATCTAAATCTTCAAAAGTAGCCTCGATATGGCTATGTACTGAGTCGCCTTCTGTGTATGTGTGGCCAACTTCTAAATATTTATGAGTAATGGTCACTCCTGAAGTCATGCTCAAATGCAAGAGCGCATTTGAAAAAACTGAGTTTCTATGTTGATAGTTACACCCGTCCGAGTATATCACCACTGGTTTAAGAGAGATTTTCAAAAGTTGTGGCGTATAATCCACTAAAAAAGAAACAAAGGTTGAAGCGCTAAGGTTATTGTTGGTTTCGTCAAACCAATACGTCATCAAACCAATACCATAACATCTTGGGTTGCCAAGTTATATACTATATAATTGTGGACAGTTAATTTTAACACTCTTCTGTGATATTCTTACAATTATAAGCATAGCACCTGTCACACATGTCTTTTCGTGGAGTATAAATGGCAATGTTCATGTTTTTTAGAGTATTACTAAACTGAGCTCTGCTTACATGTGCAACATTGTCATCTGTGTATTGTTTAACATAAATCTCATGAAGATGAGTATTAGACCTAATATGTCTGTAAATATTGCTTTTTAGAATTTTTGCGGCAATAATGTGAAGGACGTTTTGGTAGTTCAGATAAAAAGCTTTCCAAATATAACTACCAATTACGCCTAGCGCACATTGATTGGCCAGAATCGGTCCCACTTACTTGCAAATTACTTACGTCATTTATTTGCAAGTTATTTTCAACGTCATTAGAGATGTCTTCAAATGGCTCTGGCTCATCCCTGTCACTATTTTTACTCTTATGCTCTTTATTGAGCCAATGACGCACTTCATATTCAGTTAATCCTAATGTAGACAGAAACATAATTTTGCAAACGGGAATTTTTTCGTTGTCAGTTTTAAGAAAATAAAAAAGGGATACCTTTCTTCTAGGGTTTGGTCCTCCCCTGATATGTTTCGGGTTTTTCTTTTCAACTAAAGTACGTAAACGGCGTATCTAGGTCACATCATGCGAAATGAAAAATACCAGTTCCTCCAACTTATAATCGAGGGTAAAATTGAAGGCAGGAGAGGAATGGGACGCAAGAAAATGTCCTGGCTCCGAAACATAAGGCAATGGACAGGGATTAACGACATACAATCTCTGATACATATTGCAAGAAATAGAGAGTTAATGGAAAATGTGATCGCTAACATCCATTAGTGGATTTGCATCTGAAGAAGAAGAAAGTACGAACGTACATTTTTTTATTGTCCCAAGACCAAAATAATTCGAAAAGTTCTTTTCTCTTCTCATCAGATATAGAGTAACACTTCCTGGTTAATTTATATCTTCCGCAACCCTGAAGATTACAACGAACTCCCATTTGCCTTGCTCCACGCTTGACATCTAGGACAATTTTGTTTGTAGACTTTTTGTCTAACCTACGGAATCCGATATATTCTTTTCCTTTTTCTCGGTTATTACGAGCTGTTAAACGTTTTTTGGTTAAAGAGACATATTCAGTATTCTTTTGTTCAGTATTGTTCTCTGCATTATCTATATTATTAGTATTAGGTGATGTTTGTATAATATTTGAATAAACGTTTGAGGTTTCAGCGAAGAGTATCCATTATATCTTCAACGTATTGATTTAAGTTAGTACTATCATTGCAAAGCACTGATACAATTCCTAAGCTGATTTATTAGAAGTCAGCAATTCCTTGCTGACTTCTAATAAATCAACATTATTTGTAGTGAGATGGAGATTGTTATTACCGTGTGATGAGGATTGATATTCGTCTGTCTTTAGGCTGCTATTACTTTTGCCTCTGGGAGTAGCTGAGGATTTAAGCTGATTAAGTTGATTATACGTCTGCAAATATTCCAGTCGTTCATCGGAATCATACAAATTGTCTTCATCCGAATCTGGGTTGTAATCACTTCCACTAGACATCTTTTACCACAAGATATTTCAATGTTTTGTAAAGACAAAAAGAATAATTAGATTATTAAAAATATAGGTAGAGATTTAATATGAATAATACACAATAATTAATTTAAAAACCAATCAATCAAACTTACTATAATATTTCTTTTAATTTACCATACAACACACTGCGTAATTTAGATTTTGTTTAACTGCCAATAACGTCGTACTATGTTAAACAAACAACATGCCTTATTGTCAATTTGGGTTGTATGTAACTTCCCCTAATGTCAAATTACGGACTAACGTTTTAAAATAAATGAAATTACGACCATAACAAACAGAAAATATATCAAAATTAATTGTTTTTTTATGGAAATGTAAGAAATTTAATAAATTAATCTTAAAATAAACTTTGTACTTACCAAAATTCTAAAATCTCGATGCAAAACTCAGATCACAGCAAATAATGAACAGAAGCATGGAAATAACTGACGATATTGTGTGTTACTGATCAAATGACAATGTGGGCTGTTACATTTGTTAAGGTAAAGCGCTCTCTAGTGGCTATTTTTTAAAAATTGTAGCACTGGTAGATGCGCCTTCTCAATACGAATCCAATAATAGGCATACCTCATATTCGTTAAAAATGACATTAGGGTATGTCAATTACTGAGATCCCCTGATTTGCAATTACTCAATGTAAATTTCAATACAACGTCGCGATGTTTTATAAATACTATATGACGGCATATTTGAATGTGGTATATTTGAATATACCGTATGGTAATGGTATATTTGAAAACAAGTTATGACGTGGCATTTTTCAATAAATGTCATGCAACACAAAAGCATAACAAATTTAAACTTCAATTTAAAATAAAAACTGTATTTAATTTTATTTAATTTTACTTAATTTTATTTAATTTAATTAGTTTTTGTAATTTTATATATATATATATATATATATATATATATATATATATATATATATATATATATATATATATATATATATATTTAATTTTATTTAAGTTTATATAATTTTATTTTATTTTACTTAATTTTATTTAATTTTTATTTCATACAAAAATCAAAATTAAATCAAAATTATTCAAGGCGTTCTCGAGTTGTTATAAAAATATATATTAAATAAAATTATAATAAGCGTATATGTATGTATATTACGGTTAATTACAAGGTTCCTACACGTGTCTCGATTTTTCAAATCACGCTAAATAGTATTTTGGGTCCGTGCAAAACATCATACCTAGCGATAAGAAGTATTTACTTCAAAAATATATAATTATAAAGAGGGGAAATAAAAAATAAAAAGGACTTACTCAAAATTGTTTTATTATTGTTACTACGATGACAGTTTTCGATCTTTACAAATACAACCCATTATCAGGTTCCAACATTCGCTATAAGCTGAGGCCTTTGTACCTTTATGTAATTATACTCGCAATAAAGTTGTATTAAAATGTGTTTACTTAGTATTGAAATAATCTCTATTTTACCAATCAACAACAATTGTAACATTATCTCTTTTCTTTTTGAAGTGGTAAGTAACTTTTTAACGTTTGGACCTAATGGTGGGCTGTATTTGGAAAGCCCGAAACCGGTCGTCGTAGTTACAGTGAGTAAGTTCTTCGTATTTTTTTTTATCCATTGAATACAGACTCACATTTCACTCAATTTATCATTTGTATAATTGGAACCATATTTTGTTTTCTAGAGTTTACCACTGAGTCATTTCAATATATCGACTGCCTTTGTTTCCTTTTCGAACATCCAGCTAACAGAAACGCTTATCAGTGTGCCAAATTGATTCCTCTTTTAATTAAAATACTGGAAAAGTTAAATTCCTTCAATAGTTCAACGTCGGTGCTACATGCAGCTAGCATTCATTTTCGGTGCTCTATATTGATAGTTCATACCTTAAACAAGTGTAAATATGAAGAGAACCTACTACAAGAACAGTTAAAATGTAATATTATAGATATTTTGATAAAAAAACTACAGCTATTAACCACAGAAGATTTTCATACGAATCATAAAATAATTAGTAGAAAAAAAAGGTCTCAAGAATTAGAAGACGACCAAAAAGAGAGTAATGGAAAAAGGAAAAAAAGACTTTGTATGTATTGCGGAGAAATTTATTCAATGTCAAGGCTTGTAAGTATGCTAACTTTAAAGTTTAAACTAAATTTAAGAGCGATCTTTATGTGGTAGTACACCAACTTTTATTTCACAAAAAACAATGTTAGGAATCGATAACCAAATTAAAATTATTTTTATTTTATTATAAAACTTTATATAATAAAAAATTTCTCCATTTTAAATATTCTATATTCTTATGGAGCTTTCTTGGTTAATTTGCCTACGGATCTTTTCCAAAAATTCATTTCCACGATCTTTACGTTTTTTTTTCTTCTTTCGTAGCCATCTCACTGTTGTATGGCTACGCTTAATTATTGTTGCATATTTAGTTTTTTTTTGTATATTTACTTCTAAGTCTTACATCGCATATTCATCGATAGTTTTGCGTACCATATTTTATATTTGATGTTGTAGTCTTGTGCTAAAACTATTTGGTCATATGCGAAGCAGAGTATATTCTTATATCATATTATTATATACTGGGTATTCTCATTTGTATAATTAGTATCTATGTCTTCCAAAACATTACTATTTTAATGGGAATAAGCCACAATTAAAGGTTTTAGTTAGTTTATTGACGTTTCGATTTCCACTTCGGAAATCTTTCTCAAAATACAAACATTAGTAAATTAAACAAATTTTGTTTTTTTTTTGTTACTTGGTGAAAAATTCTTCTATTTAATTTTATCTGACTCATTTATATTGACAATTCAGACATACATTATACATTTTAAAGTAGATGACTTTAAAGTGATATTGCCAATATTGTTGAGTTGCGTTTCTGGGACGACTTTACTTGTAAGATAGTTCATTCAATTACATTAAATCAATTTTAACTTGAGAATATCCGTCAGAAAAAAATATAGCATGTAATTCGTCTTTAAAAAGACAAACACATGCCATGATGACAGTAAAATTCTCCTGTTAGTGATTCCGTAGTACATTATGAAGGAAAAATCAGGAAAAAACCTCATAATACTATCTCGACATGGTAAGTATTTGGTCGTGCATTTAGTTTACTTTCAATAAACACCAAATTCTGATTATATATGTTTGTTATTTAAAAAACATAAATTATGTCCTCTATATGTTACTGACTTACTAATACTCGTATTTTCCTTTTAATAACTTTCTCTTTTAATATGGGTAACCAGATCCTACTACATTCTGCCGAGGAATTTGCGACACAATTGGTTTCATTTAGCATAATTAGAGCTTCTTTGATTTTTCTCTTTTTACCATTCGTTTCTTTTAATACTATATTTGAATCATTCCATTGAATCCTATGTTCATTATCCCATGCGTGTTTACATATTTGAGATCTATTATATTCTCCTTTTTTGAATATAAGATTGATGTTCACTTATTCTAACATTTAATGGTTTTGACGCTTCACCTAAATAAAACTGATCGCATTCACAAGTAATTTTATAAATGCAATTCTTTGTGCTTTCTTGTTCATTGTTAGGTTTGGTTTTTATACAATAATTATTACAAAATAGATCTCAATGTATTTGTTGTTTTGAATGTTGTTATTACAAACAACCTACATAGTGAGAGGTTTAGTAGAGTGATGGTTTGATCCTCGTCCATGATACAAAAAGTTTAACTTAGTAGTTTAAAATCCAAATGGATTTGTGACTTAAAATAGAATACGCTGATGTACGGATGTATAACAGAGTACACATGTACTGCATAGTGGAGGATAGGACGAAAATATTCACAACTGAATTGAGCAACCAAAAATATTGGACTAGGAATCAACAGACAAGTGCTTGCCATTGGGTGTAACTGGTGGGCAGCGGTATTGTTTCATTGTGAAATAGAGGTGTGTGTTTTTCTCCAAATTTAATCATCTATCTTGTATGATAAAATCTTCAATAATGTATTTCTTTGAACAGTTCATAATCATATCTAGATCTCCATATCCAATTTCCGTTGATAGGTACAAAGGTCTTCCTTAGAATTTTTCGTGATAAAACTTCTAATTTTCTTTTTGCGTTTTGTATCATCACCCAAGTCCCACATCCATAATATACTACTGGTCTAATTCTGGTTGAATATATATAAATCTTCGATTTCCAGTGTACTGTTTTGGGAACAGTTAGTCAACGACCAATAGGCTTTGTTGCCTTTCATTATTCTTTTTTGAATTTTTGCTTCATTTGTTCCTCCTGTGTTTAAATATACCCCGAAATGTGTGAAGTTCTTCACTACTTCTGGAGGATACTTCTGGAAGATAACATTATCCTGTACTCTAATCGGATTTCAAATTTACTCAGCTCTTCACTCATCTGTGTTAGTGTTTTCGTCTTTGGATATTTATTTCTAGTTCAATCTCTTTGGTTGGTCATTTTAGTTGTGAATGTTTTTGTTCTATATTCCACTCTGCAGTACATGATTTGTTTGTTATGAAATTGGCTCTTACGACATTCAGCTGTCTTTAACATACTAAGTTTAGTTTAATTACTCGTTATATAGTTGTTAAGTAACGGAAGGAGATTCTTTACTGGAAGAAGATCCTACATGTTTTGTACATAAAGACACTACAATAATTACTTATTATCTTATATTGATTAAACTTGTTGATATGTTTTAATTATAAATAGAGTTAATGAAAAAATATATTACAATAATAATACGTACTTTTAGCATAATTGCGTACTTTTGCCACTTCGACAGTATTCGCCTGTATCGTCTGGCTTCAGTGATGATGAACCAAATAATCGTTCTGCTTTTAGCAGAAGCCCCAGTCCTTGTTCAAGTTCCAGCAGTGGACTGTCTTGGCCTTCCTCTAACTCAAGGTAAGCTCTTTCGTTTTTTATAAATGTATTTAAACAAGAACTGGTTATTTAATATAGAATTGATGGATTCCACCATTACTTGATGGAAATTCATTTTATCTAACAATAAAACACAAACACAAAATTTATTATAATTTACTATTACCACAGCTATTTCGGCATAGTGCCTTTCTCAAGTGATCTATTTTTGGTATGCGTTTACACTTTATAGTCTTTAACTGAATAAGTTGAGGAGGGGAGAACTTTTTGTCTCAAGGTGTTCATTCAGAATTTTGTCTGTATTTTTTAATTTGTTAATTTCTATAGATTCTACTAAAGATAGCTTAAGGTCTTTATTTTGAATGTGAAGAATTTGAAATTCGCCATTAAAAGAGTGATTATGGTGTGGAAGATGAAGTGCGTACATAGAATCTGTTTTTTCCGTTATTGAAAGCCCTTTTATGTTCTGCTATACGTTTGTTAAAAGTTTTACCAGTTTGACCGATTTAAGTTTTTGGGCAGTCACCACATTTAAGTTTGTAGTCATTTGCAATAGTAAAAAACCTAATATTCATTATACAAAAAGTTTTTCGAACCATAATTATTTTTCAATAGATTTATAATTTTAACAGATACTAGGTGTAGTAAGTGAAGTAGCTTAAACAAAACTGCCAATGATATCGTAAAAGTGTCATTACAAAATATATTACCGATGTGTGTAGTGAAACTAAAAAGTGCTGTTACAAAGAGAACCAAACAGCCTTTTCAATTAAAAATAAATCAATAGAAAACAACACAGTGTTTACAAAAGCAGTCAAAGGTAATACTATTATTGTTATAGATAAAATAAAATATAATAACAAAACAATAGAATTTTTTAAATAATCAAAATATTGAAACAATAAGCAAAGATCCGACGGAAAAGTAAGCAAATATCCGATGCAAAAACAAATTAACCTGGATGGCGTTAGAAAATTCAAATCAATATTAAATTAAATAGAACAGAAATACCTCAATATCATGAACTCACAGCCTCCTAAATTATACATACTCTTTTATTAAACTACACAAACCTGCTCACCCATTAAGACCTGTAGTTTCTTTTTATACAGCTCCGTCATATAAACTTTCAAAAAACTATTAGAGATTATTTTAGAACACATTAAATTTTCACCTCAATTTACGGTAAAAAATAGAATAGAACTAGTTAAATGATAAAATACAACATTTGCAAATGCCTAACAACTAAAGATTAAGTTCATTTGTCGTAAAAAATCTTTTTGTTAGTATTCCTCCCACCAGAAACTTTTGTTCTAGTAAAAACCTTTTAGGCCATAATATTACAAATCCAATAATTGCATCTGCAATTTTACATCTTGAAATTCGCATAAACTAGCACTATTTTGAATTTAATAATCAAATATGTACAAATAACAGTGAAGGACTTATAATGGGTAATCCTCTAAGCAGTCTAAGTCCATTGCTATAAGATATTTTTATGGATCATCTTGAAACAAAGATTTCAAAACATCCCGTATTCAAACGGTTTTTATATTGATGGAGATCCTTTGGATCTGCAGATATTATATAGTCATATTGAATTCACAATAGATACAGAACAGAGTAAATCCATAAATTTTCTTGATTTAAAAATTATCAGACTTAAAAACAAACATGAATACTCCTATTTTACTTAATATATTATTGAGTAATACATGACAAACATGAATACTTAAAAACAAACTATTTCATAAACCTAGCTATTTGCTATGTGCAAGTACTTGGAAAGGATCCGAGAAACGATCTTACGGGTGCAGCGGTGAAATCTTGCACCTTTGTTAGCATATTTCATAAATAGTTATTAAAGCAAATGGGATTTCGCAAATGATGTGTTATAAATTGTAAAAATACAACAAAAAATAGTAAATTCAGGTTCTATCGGTTTCCAACTTCTAAGCACAAATTAAAGCAACGAGAAAAGTGGATTTATATCATAATAAACCAGAAGTAACTAACTCAAATTCTGCATTTTTACGCCCGATTTCTTAATAATTTGGCATCAAGATTAAATTAAAGTTCACTGTAAAGTATAAATTTCAATAATAATCAGGTTGGTTCAAGTTTGTTAAAATTTTTTTTTCAAATTAAAAAAAATGAAAAATATTTTTTCTTTTAGGTTGTCATTATGAAATCGGACGTTAATGTCGCTCCAAAATATTGATATGATATACAATTAATAATTGTATTTTACAGTGGATATGATAGTTCGTTGAAAAGCTATTTTATGATTTATTTTCTGGAATCCAGTTTTTTATTATTGCTATACAGTGGCTCACAGCTTAAATGATGCAGTCCCTACTCAATAAAACTAGCTTATATCAGTGGCTCAATATTTATTAGAAAAAAATTATATACTGAAATTAAATTAAAGTTTGTTTAGCAGTAAATGGTTGACTTCAATTAGTACCGACTATAAACATCCTGGGTTAACCGATAATAGTATAAAAGGCCCGGTTTCAGGTAAAATTTGTTTCCTGGTAAAATTTGTCAATCTTCATTTCTTAATGTAGATTTAATTGCGTACAATCCAAACTCATTATAATTTCATTAATTCAGATAAGGCTTATATTGACGAAACTGTACTGATCAGAGGGTTTTTCGAATTCGATGGTAGTGCGCGACGGGATTGCTAATCACCTTTTAAGTGGTTTTCAGGTGTTTATATAATAATGTTATGGAAGTGAACACCAACCAGTATTTAAATACGAGGTCTTAATAAAATTTGTTTATCTTTATGTATCACGGGAAGTGTTAAGTAGTATTACTCATTTTATTCATTACGTACGTTTTCTACCATTATGTGGCATCCGTGGGATAATAATAATAGGGCTTCTTCTAGTGTTCCGGTAAAGAAGAAACATTTATCTGTAGATGCAAAGCAAATTGTAAAAACTATATACAGTACCTAAAATACATCTGACCACAGTAAAAAGAATTACATCAAATCCCATAGAAACAAGAAAAAACGTAAAGATTCCAGTTCCACTAAATGTATAGACGAAGCCAATAAGGACTTGATACGTCGAAAAGTCTATACCATGTACGAAGAGCAACGCATACCTACATTAAGAGCTCTGAAGCAACGGCTCAATGTTGACGAAACCCAAATAAGCTGTAGCCTCACCAGCTTATAGAAAAAGTGTGGGCTTTTGATATCGTATAATTGACAAAAGACAAGTAATTATGGAATCTAATAGATTACAAAAATGGCGTCATGAGTATATAACTTCGATAAGAAAATTCCGTTCTGAAAATCGTCCGATAAGTTACATCGACGAGACATGGTTTGACACACATTCAACGCTACCTAAAGGGTTTGCCGATTCCTCCGGTAAATCTAAGACAAAAGCTCCGTCAAATAAAGAGAAAAGAATAACGATTTTATACGCTGGATTAGAAAATGGTTGGGTTCCAAATGCCCTGTGGCTTTCTGCAAAGAATATTAAAGACTCCTGCGTCAATTACCATGAAAATACAACGGCAGAACTTTTTAAAGAATGGTTCAAAAATAATCGTATGCCAAACATTTCTCAGAATAGCGTGATACTTATGGACAATGCAAGCTATCACAATCCATGTAATTCAAAATTACATGGAGACGAATGATATGTATTTTGAAGAATGTTACACCAAACAAGAGCTTTTGGAAGTTTTAAAGGCATTTTCTATAAAAAAGAGTATATGTTTGCTATACATTGGCAGAGGAAATGGTTCATACAGTGCTGCGGCGTCCACCCTAGTATTGTATGTTTAATCCCATAGGACATATGTGGCACGAATTAAAGTCTAACGGGAGGTCACAAAATTTTTCCCCATTTTTAAGAAGTACTGTTGTAGAGTTAATAAGAAAATGTGCCAATGATATTTTTCCAAGTAGTTGGAGAAATTCATCCCGACACGTAATAAGTAAAGAAAATTCATATGTTCATGTAGATCATAATATAATTGAACCGATCATAATTAATTTAGATGAGGTAGCGATAGCGGAACAGAACTATGTGTGGAGTGATACTGACATCAAATCTACAAATGTTATGATTTAAAAAAACGGTTCTTTTCAGAACCACAAATTATTGTTAATGTTTGTTTTTCTATAATCTTATGCTGGGTCCAGACCAAGCAGACAAAACAAAAACATTCATGTTTCGCGACAAAGTGGCGACAAATCGAAAACATTTGTTGAGACATTTCTGAAACAATTTTGTTTTGTTTGCAGATTTGAAAACTTTTTCAGGTCCCGTCTCAGGTCGGTAAAGATCAAAAGGTCTTTGTTTTTGACGACAAGTTGTCGATGCAGTGTGGACGCGTGTGTGTGCCAAAACAAGTTAAGCAGTAGGAGAAATAAAATGTACAATTTTTATCAAAATCAAGTGTATTTTTCTGTTGTGTAGTGATTAAATAAATACTAGTGTATTTTTCTAAACATGTCGGGAGACAAAATGTGGAATACACAAAATACATGCAAGTTAATAGAACTTTACAGGGAGCATCCGATATTATGGGACCCTAAAAATAAAGATTATAAAAATCGCTACAACAAAGCCGATGCATTAAAGGAAATTTCTTTATCGCTAAATGTGCCACTTAATGATGTTGAAAAGAAAATAAAGAATGTTAACAACCAGTATGCTAGAGAAAGACGACGTTTGGGTTTTCGTTTAGCAACCTGGGATGATGATGAGAGCAAAAAAAAACAACTTCCGGCTAGCAATAAATCTTCAGTTTCATTTTTTTCTTGATTAAAACGCCACATGGTTAACCAACACTAATCACAACAACAACGTCACCAACTGAATTTTGTTTTTATATTTTGTTGTTCTGGTGTGGACAGTTTGTCTCAATTTTGTTTTGTCTTTTGACGACAAATTTTGTCGTCGGTTTATCGTGTTTTTGTTTCAGAATTGTGTTTTCGTTTTGTCTGCTTGGTCTGGACCCGGCATTAGCAATTAAAATAGATTTAATTTATTTTAAAACTCATTTGAAAACATTAATTTCGGGTATTTAAGGCAAAGCAATATATTTTACATCCGTTTTTTTTGGTTTTGTCGTCGTAATTATTGTAAATTTTGTGGATCCTTTGATTTATTATAGGAGTACCGTCTAGTCAGTGTTAATTGTCAAAAGACCAACTTTGTCTACCTCGTTTGCTTATCGCTCCGGATCGGTCTTAAAAATGGACCAAGTCAGATAAATTTAATAATATTTACGACCACTCTAATTGAAGTCAATCATTTTCTGCTAAACAAACTTTACTACAAGTCTTCTAAAATAGCATAAGTTATTTTTTGGGTTTCAAATATACCATACTTAAGTAACAATTAATATTTAGTGATTTTATGTATGATTTTGATCAGCTAAAATGATGCAAACTTTAAAACCAGAAAATTAATAAAGAAAACAAACTCGACGCATTGAAAAATTATTGCTAATATTTTGTAAATCCTCCTTCATTATCAATTACAGTCTGTAGTGGTCTAGGCGTTGATTCGACTAACTTTCTAGTGTACCCTGGGGAAATTGTGTCCCGAGCTTCAGTAATTTTTACTTTCAATTCATTTCTATTTGATATTGGGGCATTATTTACTTTATTTTTTAATGTCAACCACAAAGTTTCAATACCATGCAAATCTGTTGACTGGGATTGTGTTTTAATGACATTTCGGCAACCAAATACGAACTCGATATAGCGTGTGTTTTGGATAATTGTCCTGATAAATCCGGTAATTGTTATTGATACCTAATATTTGAGCACTAGCGACAAGATGCTGCCTTAGTATATCCAAATACATGTACTGGTACATGATCAAATTCTTGACATTCAAAATAAAGGCCTTAAGCTATCGTTATTAGAATCAATGGAAATCAACAAATTAAAAAATACAGGTATAATTCTGAATGATCAACTGAGACAAACAGTTCCCCCCTCCTCAACTTATTCAGTTAGAGACTATAAAGTGTAAATGTATACCAAAAATAGATCACTTGAGAAAGGCACTATGCCTTTACTATCGCCATAATAGCTGTGGTGATAGTAAATTATAAAAAATTTTGTGGAAGTGTTGAAAACAAAAGTTTTCTGTGTTTTATTGTTAGATAGAATTAATTACTTCAACCCTAAATATGGCATATATACCACGATGATTGTAGGCTGCTATAATTCTCACTTAAGTTTTGATAAATAAGTTTAGATTTTTTGAACTTCAAATCAATGTCAGCTCCCTCAGAAACAAAATTAAAATTTCTATTCTGAAGAAGCTGATAATTACAGCAAAATACGTCAAGTTACTGACATTTTGTGAAAATAAAATCACTCGTATACAAATCACCCATACTTAAAGTAAGACTACAATGGCAAATAAATATGTAGATAGTCATTGCCGAATATTCAGGTTCACTTTGTGGTCAATTTCTCAGGCGTCACGTCCAGGAAGTTCGTGGCTTAAGAGACCGTTTTGTCACGAAATGATGGATTGTTTGTCTCTCCGCAACGTAGTTACATTTTGGGGAAGAACCTCTGTCCCATTAAATCAAAGTGTACGTACAGCATTTATTTCCCGTGCTGATTATATTTAGAGTAGTCCAGGTTTTTCGAGGCTTATCATTGGTACCAGTGAATTGGATTGTGGGATGACCTGTTATTCCCATTCTATTTTCCAGCATTCAGCAAGGGAGAAAGGAGTTTTGTAATTAGGCATTGACGCTGACAAGAGGTGGAAATCTGGAGCGCAATATATTTTAGTCAATTCCTGTAATCGGACTAAAGATCAGCATAAGCAAGACGCAAATAATGACTAAGCTAATGCTAAATCGTAATAGATTATCGTATTAAAGATATTGAACAGACTGCGTGGTATAAATACTTTCGACATGAAATTCGGTTAGGCAGAGATAACCAGACATGTGAGTTCTCACGTCTTACAGGGCCGCGTTTAGTAAATTAAACTGGTATGTAAATCTGACCTAGCCGCTGCGCCCTGAACAGCGTCTAATAAATTAAACTATACCATTTTTCAAAGTAAAATACTTGCACGTCACGATTTATACAAAGTGACGTCACTTGTATTTAAAATTTCCAGAACATCAACCTTAGAGTTCAAATTTTCCTAACACAGCTAATAATACGAAACCCATACGGAACTGCTCGATCTTTCATAGGCGTCAACATGGTGTAATAATCAGAAAAATGTAATCATCATTATATTGGAAATTTTAGAATTATATTGATTAAATAACCAAAAACATTTGTTATTATTAATAATATAAATTTTATGTCTAATATGTCTAATATTCCACAAAATAATAATTTTAATTAAATATACTTGTGGCAAAAGTGTATAAAGTGTTGCCGCTTTTTTAGAGTAGGAATTGTGTTTATGTTTTGATTTCTTACACAATTTGATCATAATATAATATATATATTAATAAATTGTATTTATAAATACATATTAAATTTAGATTATCAGTTTTAAAAACTAATTATTGTTGTGTATTGTCATTGTGATATATCAACACAAATAAATAGTCTGTAGAAAGCTGATAAACTTTCATATAAGAAGATTATTTTGAACAAGAAATAATGGCGGGACATTTTTACGATTTAAGCCTTAAAAGAGGTAAATTTAAAATTTAGAATATATATTTTTGTATTAAAATGTTTTTTTATGTATTTTAATGTGTTGCGGTAGTCTTAAAACTAAGTGTATTTACTCTTAATATAATAGTTTGCCAAATAGTTGACATTTTAAAAATTCCTCACTTACTAACTATTCTGATGTTTTGGCAACGCTGTGGGGTTCTGACGACGTAAATCTTGAATGACGTCCAAGCTTTTTTATATGAAAAATGCTATATGTATTTAGTGTGTTCAGTGTGTTTCCCGTACTCACTTATGAACCGGAAATATTAACACTCACAAAAAAGGTAGTAAACAAGATTCGCGTGACTCAGAGGGCCATAGAGCATATGTTGGGTGTCTCTTTGAGAGACCGAATCCCAAATGAAGAAATATGTTGTAGAAACAAAAATAATACACGCTTTTAAAAGAATTACGTCGCTAAAATGGAATTGGACTAGAGACGGCACCATACTATATGGCAACCGATGGATTGTCAAGCAGATGCCAAGAAAAGAAGCACTACGTTGCAAAAGCCGCCAACCAACTAACTGGAATGACGACCTGAAGCGTGGTAGCAGTAACGGGATGAAAGACACACAAAGCAGAGACAGATGGAAAGAGCTAACTGAGACCTATGTCCAGCGGGGAGCGTAAAGTTTGATGTCGATAATCATGATTATTTTATTATTGAAATTATTTTTGTTGGATATTATAAACATTTTTTTATTTTCAAAATTATCTTTTTATCTTTACTATATTATATGTATCTCTAATTGGATAATATTGAATTTATCAATAATACTGTGTAATATTGGAGAGGAAGAGTGGTATACACTATAAAGGAGGAGAATTTATTTAGTTTTAATATTTATTTATAATTTATTTTAGAACTTCCTTAAACGTTGACACATCCTTTTCCGATTCAGACTATTACTCTCCAGTTTGTAGTGAAGACGAAGATTTAGAATTTCCTGAGAGTTTTTCAATGGATTGTCTAGAAGTTCTGCCTGGGAGATTTGAGAAGCAGGAGGAAGATACATTCGGTAACGATATAGACAATTAGACTGTTCGTCCACGAAGCAACTGATGTGTGATGTATGACATATCATCCATCAAATTTTAGTTTCATTTGGGTTATACCTAGCGATTTTAATTATGTCGTATACACAGAGCTACTCTTCACCAATCATCACCTCACTGCTTTTACTAGTCGACAAATTTCTCTCTGCAAGTAAACCATTATAAAATATATATTTGATCATTCAGCGTTCGGTGAGTTGTGTTCAAAACAAGCAATTGGACTTTGTAAGTAGTAGGTTTTCGCCTAACATGATCGGAAATAGAACCTGAAGTCGATATTTGAACTCTTCTTGTGATTTTGCGTCGATTTATATACGATTTCACTAATTTTGAGTAATGTCTGCCAAACTTCCGGTATTACTTTTTAACCGCAAGTGATATAAAACCGGAAATATATATTTTTTCTCGTCTTGTTAAGGGCGTTGAATAATATATCGCTTGTAATATTTCGGCGACTTTAAACAGTACTTACGATTACAACTCCGCTACCGAAAGTTGGAGGTCAGATTTCTCACCATTAATACCATCTTTGGGTTATAAGCTCTCATTCAATACTTAATTTGTCATTTTATCTCTTCTAATGAAGGAGTTGTGTTCACGGACAGATAGACATGGATAATTCAAGGTTGTCACTATTTTTATTCACAAGATATTTGCTATAAGTTTGAACGGATGTAACATAAAATACAGAACTGTTTTTAATTTTCGCAGAATAAATTCAATTTAAGATGTTTCACTAAATTATCGGTTCTATTACAAGTTTGATAATTTCAGAATAGGTTGAAATTAGAATTATTTTGATGAAGGTGGCGCTGACGTTTTAGCGAAATATGTAAATTATATTCACTATATTCTGTGTAAATTAAAAACCGGTATAGTGTTTTAGAATTTATGTTATAATATTGAACATGAATTTCTCTCAAGTAATCGCCAATTCGACATATGATTTCAAGGAAGAGAAAGATAATTACACTTATTCGTAATTACAATCCTCGAGCAGTTTCATTAGTTGCTTCGTGTACGAAGATAGTTAATTTTAATGTATTCCACCAATATTTCATGGCACAGGGTATGGCATTTTCATAATTTTATACTTGAGGAACGATTTATGGTTTAAAATAAAAACGTCAAAATAAAAAACATAATTATGATTACAATCATTGTGGACAAGAATCATATCAGTAGCGGAGATTTATTTTTTATTTAGCGTATGGCATACTCTCTCTCTCTTGTCGTTTCCTCATTGCTGAGGATCGTGATTCCCTACAATGCGGGCTGTCAATTCTCTCCATCTCTTGCGATGTTGGGCTGCTCTCATGGACTCGGAAAACGTCTCTCCAGTGGCTTTCTGTACTTGATCTGACCATCGGATAGGTGAGCGTCCTCGGCCTCTACGTCCTTCTACGTTTCCGCACACAATGGCATACTAAGAAAACATAATTAAAAGCCATATTTTTATAAAAAATTATAAAATATTACTCTCTTTATCTCTTCACTTCTTTTGTTTGAATTCCCTTCTGCTTTTTACTCGAGAAAATGCCACTGAATCTCTAAAAATCATGCAAACAATCTGAATATTGCTGAACATATTAATTTTGGGACCCAAAAAACTTTATTACTTTTAAAATAAAAAATAAGTTCACTATTTTTTTTCCTCGAACTGACAATATTCTTCAAAGAACGCTTCACTTTCCGTATATATCTTTGGCATCTAGGACTTTTCTATTGGTCCTTTGCGGCACGCGGTCATGTTTCAACCAATAGGCGGCAAGGTTCCAAACATGTATATGGAATGTTACTTTAAAAAAAAAGTAAATCAGTGCAATGAAACAAAATATATTTAAATAAATAATAAAAAAATTTAAATTTTTAAAATGTAATATTTATACGAAATTCAGTGTCCTTCCCCATTTTTAATTGCATGTTTGATTCTCTGCGATATTAAACGAAAGATTGTGATGCATTTTAAACCTTTTTTAGGAGGTTGAACTTTAGGTGGTTATCCAAATGGTAATCTATTTGATCCTCTAGTAATTTCCTACTTTCTTCGACTGATTGAAGTTGGTTGCACTCTTATATTGTCCTTGTATTCAAATCGCATCGCCGAAGAAATTCCTGCAATGTTTAAAAAAATTTTCCAAGCCGTTTTGGTTTTAATGAAGGATAGTCTTTCGTGCAATACCTTTAACGTTGATGAATCAGTTCCAAATGTAACATTTTTATCTTGAAGCGTATTAATAAAATCTGCAAAAGAAAATTCTTGTTCTTTAGATATTTCATTTTTGTTTAAAAGAATATCTTTTCTAACATTATTTTCATCACTGTTATCAACAGGAAGATATAATTAATTATCTCAAAATTTATACAAAGTTCCTTCTGTGCTTTACGAAATCGATACAGCAACAGGAGTTTGCAGCTGCGATATTGGAAGATTGGGTGCATGTTGCACGCATTAAGCTGAGACTGCACACACTTTTTAAATATATTATATCTCTTTGCAACGTTGCAGTTGCTAATCCTGAATATTTATACGAAGTAGATAAATTAGCTACTGGCGAAAAAGTTCTGTTAAAACTTTCAAGCAACCCCGTATAATACCCTTTTAGTCAAGTTTACCCGACCTTCATTTTTACAACCCTCGAGAAGGGCTGCAGGTAGTTGGGTACAGAACACAGTCAACACTCGGAGAGTCTCAACACAACATCGTTACAATAAGGACGCTAGTTTTAAATTTATCGCTTACAAAATATTTTACTTGTGCCTTGTTTTCAATACAGTTTAGTTTAAATGATTTGTTTTTTATTATTACGTGAAATTCTAATAACATTTAACTTACATCCTAAAAGTTCAACCTCATTCATTTTATAGAGGGCTTTCCAGATCCAGTTTATGTGTTACAGAACCATTATATTAATACCAACATTGATAACAGTGATGAAAATAATATTAGAGATGATATTCTTTTAAACAAAAATGAAACAGCTGAACAACAAATATCTTTTTGCAGGTTTTATTAATACGCTATAAGATAAAATATTACATTTGGAACTGATTCATCAACGTAAAAATTATTGCACGAAACATCCCATATTAAAAACAAAACGGCTTAGGAAAGTTTTTTAAACATGTCAGGAAGTTCCTCGGCAAGGCGATTTGAATACAAGGCCAATATAATGGTGCAACCAACTTTAATCAGTCGAAGAAAGTTACTAGGGGGTCAAATAGATTACCATTTGGACAACCACCTAAAGTTCAACCTTAGAAAAGAAAAGGTTTAAAATGCATCACAATCTTTCGTCCAATATCGCAACAAATGCAACAAGATTTGACGTAAAATTTGATATTTCATTATTTCGAATACTTTCTCTTTCATACACCGACTATAATGCTGAGCATAAACGCCATCCCCACCGGCATCTTTAGAATCTTTTAACTGTATACGGAATGTTTAGATGCTTCCAATTTTTACAATATTATGAATTTCATCATTAGTACATGTGGAGACAAGGACGGAATTTTTATGTCTTGTTTAACACACGTTGCTGCACCATGGTAGTTCAAAGCCCGGTATTTTCCCCCTTTTTTTAGTTTTTCTTCAGTTCTCCGTGTGTCTCCTGTAGGACTACCAGGTTGATGCCGTTATTTCTTAACACTCTTGGTCAGACACACAGTGGATCATGGGTCCGAGTTTTCTAGTCGTTTGGTCATGAGAAGGTCCGTTTTTTTGTTGTTCATTTGCTTCTAATATTCTCTAATAACCGCCAGTATTTGCTAGCTCATTTAGCGTTACTCAGGGTGCGCCACGTATAGGCGAAATAGCTGTACACCCCACGATTAAAAAATACAATTAATTAACTCTTTAAAATTTAAAAACAACGGTAGATGAATAAATTGCTGCAAGTTGACCATGCGTTGACAACAACGTATTTGTACAATTGTCTTCTGTATATTGTTTTTACTTATTGTTTTTATTATTTTTAGATCAATCATCTAAGGAGGATACAAATGGGCTAGAAAAACGGTTGATATTAGCAATAACAAAATTAATCAATTCATACGTGAAACTGAAACCTCCTGTATCTCAACTAGGATCTGAAGATCTTCTTTTAGCAATCATCAATGTAACAGAATTTTGCTGCATTGATGACAAAATTTTCAACATAGACAACTTACTTGTTACGGTGATAGCAATTCTACATTCCCATGTATATTTATTGCCGCTCATGAAAACTTCATTCATTGAAAGAATAAGCAAGCTGACCGAGTACATTCACTCAATAGATTGCGAGATCTGCTTCCATTTTAATTTGGTAGCAAAGGCCGTATTAAGTGGATTAACCGGAATTGCAGAAAGCCCTGTTGGAAAGGGGAATCTGGCTCATGAATTACTAAGAGGAAGTGATGAATTCCGGACGCAATTGGTATTAAGCATTATATATGTTGTAGAGTAAGTATGATTCTGTTTTTTTCCCTAATAATATTCGTATACCATCACTTTGTATCAATTCATATGGAACACTAGAATAAGTATATGAAATTTGTTCCTAAGTTTGCCACGTTCATGTTGTTAGGATATGTAATGAAATCTTGAAGCGCTCATAAATATGTATATCAAAGCTAAGTCAATATTTTTCTTATTTCAAACCAATAAGTAAGAATACAGTTAATTCGTGTAGATTTTTTTTTGCATTTTGTAAAAATGTTAAAAACATAAATTAATCGTAGTAAAAACCATAGTCTTAAATAAAGAGAGCTACATTGGAGATTTGCGCATTCTTAGTTTTTATTTTGTTTTAGTATTATGTTAGGTTCAATATGAGTGGGCGTTTAACCACTTTTCCACTCGGTCTAAGTGGTCTATCATGGCTCATCTCTAGGTGAAAGTTGTTCCTTCAGCCTGGCCTTTAAAAAAAAATCTATTATGGCCTTAGGTGACACTTCTATGAAGTGGTAGGGCTCTAGTTAATAATGCTTAAATGACAAAATCTGCAGTTCGCACTTTCTGTCAATCCCAATTTTGTTTATATATTATGTCCCTTGAGGTTACAGTATCCTAGTAGGTTTTGGATCTCGTCTTCGAAGTTATATGTTTAAAAGCCTAAGAATATTTGAGACCCGTTTATTCGTACTAATGCAGTGGTTACGTTTCATCCGTTCCATCCAGTCCAATATTGTTCTTTTGGCTGTGTTTCTTGCTATGCCAACGAAAGGTTCTGGACCTATGAATGTTTCTTTCGTCTCACCCCTGGCAAGTAGGTCCGCTTTTTCGTTCCCTTCAATAACAGTAAGTACAGGCACACAGAGTAAACTTACTTTTTTTGATCGGAATCAGATTCAGAAGACAGTTCCAAACTAACTTGGAGTCAATCCGATTCGATGTCAGTGCCTTATCCATATCCCATGTTTTCCCACATATTTTTCGACATGTCCAAAGGGAAAGCTTTGCTTTGTTAATTATTCTTTCCAAATGGATGTTTCATGTAAGCCGATTATCAAGTATTACTAGTGGATATTTAACCTCATTCGCCTCTTTGACAGTTTCTCCATACAGAGCGGGCATCTAGATCTCATCTAGGTTCCGTCTCATTATGGAACTGACTACTACTGTTTTACTAGGATTGATAGAGATTTTTGTCCTATCGCACCAGGAGTAAGCACCCCCACCTCGTGGGCATCCTTTAGCTGTTTTAGCCAAAATCTTCTCTCCTTGCAGGTCTGTTAGAATCAGCCTATTTTGCGGCATTGCTTTGATCCCGCGTAGGGTAACGTATATCCCCGAGTGACTGATTTTTTTACTTCCTTCTCCATTGCTGTTTTTGTTGATTTTTCTTCTTTGTATGCATGCTGATTGTCATTCGGGGGATGATCCCTCAATAGACCCTTCTTAAGGTACTACGAGTAGTATAGATTAGAAGGCTAAAAAAATGCATATTTTCAAAAAAAAATTCTCAGCTCGTTTATTAGATACAAACATGAGTTTTCTTTTACATAATATTTTATATTAGAGTTACACAAAAAAAATTGTTTTGCTTTTAGTTGCCATGAATATCCCGTTTTCTAGAGGGCGTCTAAGTTAACATATCAAAAAACAGCGTATCCATAACTGCCCCTTTCACAAAAATCACTTGAATTATAAAAATAAAAAATAACAAATCGTATGTTCGGTCTATGTTAATATATACGTATATGGATAACACTCGGGGTTGACGCATGATCTCTCAAATTAAGATAAGTGAATCGTATAAAAGTATTCGAAATGTAGACATTGCGTAAACTATTGCTATTTCATAGGGTAATCATGTGACAAACGAGGAAGAACAGTTAAAAGCGAACGTGAACTGTTACAAACTATATAACGGTAAATATGAGCTATTAATATTGATTTTAATGGGTAGAATAGAGGGACGAAGAGTCCAATATGGCAACAGTACGACTAGATCAGAGGTTCTCAAGCTAATGCAGAGCAACGAGAGTGGGGTTAGCCAAGGATGCGTTTTGTCACCTGACTTGATGGGTCGGTAGAGTAACGGTGGCTGCTAGAAAAATCTTAAATTTAAGATTTACTGATGACACTACACTTACTACACTTATAGCAACAAATTAACAAGAAATGCTTGGTCTCCTGCGAATAGTTGAGTTGAAAAGCATTAAAGTTGGTCCTAAAATTATTATTAAAGATAAGACGAAACAAATACAGATGACTGAAAATAATGCTTCAAGTCAAAGTATTTGAAAAGCGAGGAATTGGGAGAAGAATATAGTTAAAAAAACCCGAGGAAATGGTTCTCCACAACAACAACTAATATATTTAAAGCATCAGTTAATAAAATAATTATAGCCAGAATGATCGCCAATATTCGAAACAAATAGGCACCAAAAGAAGAAGAAGAAGTTAATGAAGTTCTTGTCAGTTATAATTTTATTCATCATTGTGTACCATTCATTTAAGCGGATATTCTATATTCTGCATATAACGGATTTTTTTACAGATACCGCCGTCCCCTGTTTCAATTTTTTTCTATTTAAGACACCATCCTCAACCAAGTTTCTTACCACATAGCTTCATTAACTTCATCTCTCCAATTTTGGGCGGCTGACCTCTTTTTCTTCGTTCAGCATATATCCATTCCAATATTTTCCGGGATCATCTGTTATCTGGCATTCTCTTAAGATGGTCAAACCAAGTCCATGGTCTTCTTTCAATTTCTTGTTGTATATGTCAGTCCATATCCATTTCATTTCTTATATGCTCATTTCGAATTCTCTCTTATTTTGATCTACAACTCCCTCTAAAAATCCATTTCGTTTGCTAAGAGCTTGTTTCTGTTAACTTTTGTTACATCGCAAACTTCTGAGCCGTAGAGGATAATACTTTCAAGTAAGCTGTTATAAATCTGTTTTTTGTCTCTTTTATTGATCTGTAGAAAAGAGTATGCTATCCGTATCAAAAATTAGATCTTCTTTGTCACTGTTTCCGACCACCAGATACTCACACTTAGATATGTTCTTGTTAAGGCCTGCGGTCTCGCATTGTTCTTTTAGTTTTCTTATTATATAATTTATATCATTATTGATCATCGGTAATTACGGTTTGATCATCCGCAAAACAGTGAAAAGCATTTCTGTTCAATCCTTAATAAATTTTCTCGTGTTTATGTCAATAATCTAGTAAATAATTAGGATTTTTTGAAGCGAAGCTTCTATGCAAATCGTTCCTAGTCATGGACGTATAAATGTTCCTAGTCATCATATATTTACTCTAAGCAGGCTTAAATTAAAAACTGCATGAAAAATAAATAACAAGATATAGACATTAAATGAGAAGTAAAAAACTAAAAGAATATATTATGTAACTAAAATATTCGATTCGTAACGATTCTTATAACAAGATATAGACATTAAATGAAAAGTAAAAAACTAAAAGAATATATTATGTCACTAAAATATTCGATTCGTAACGATTGTCAACATTTAATAAAAAGTCATAAATATTAACCTATTAGTAACAATATTGAATCGTCTGTTTAATTTTTTATAATAATTCTCATTTTAAAATAATTATTAATATTTGGTCTGAATTTGACAGGTTTGTCATAAGTAAACAACGTATGCTTTGTTAATTCGTTGACAAGTGGAGTTGGGAGCAAACATAATAATTTATTGAATTGTTTAAAATATAATAAATAAATAAATAATAAAATTACTTTATTTAATTTTAAATATATTATTTAAATTTTAAAAATACAGAAAACATAGTATGAAGCTCCGCGCTAGTCTACAGTACCTAATACTGTTCCACTTTTTTGGAATGCTCTTTGTAACATAGAAGTCGAGCAGGTCAGGGGTTGTGTTCCCATCAATATACGTAAGTATGGCAAGAATAAAATATGTTCTACTACGGAGCAGATAAGAATTTCTTTACATGACGTTTCCCAGTTTGCTTTATATTGAAATAAGTAAAAAGAGTAATATTCAAGCAATTGTAAGCTATTATATGATATTATACTTATTGTACTAGTTAATATAAAATGATTTTTTTTTCGGGTTCCATCAGACAAAATATAATATATATTCCAAGAATTTTCCATTAACTCAATTTAAATTTTGCAGAATCTGACAAGAGTATTGTTTAGACATAATGTTATGTAATGAGTTGTCGAGTAAAATGTCTAATATGTATCACAATTTGAAATTACAGTTCTTTTTTTTTCTTTCAGAAACAAGCCAATCCTTTTTAAGCTACTCCTCAATTGTGGAGGACTAAATACCATCATGAGTGTTCTGCGAGGAGATTCGATTTTATACAAGAACCAATCCATAAAATGCATTTCTATTCTAGCTTGCAAACGATTAAAGATAAAAAATCCCAAGTCGATGGCTATTAAATTAGGATTCGATTTAAAAGATCCAATAAAACCGTCTGAAAACCCAGTTAATATTGTAACTTTCAAATTAGATGATGGAATTTGTATCAAAGCTGATAGAGATTATTTGACGAATAAATCAGATTACTTTAATAGGCTGCTTACAGGTCACTTCAAAGAAAGCAGCGAGGATGAAATATACCTACATAACGTAAAATCGCAAACTTTGAAGTGTTTGCTAAAAATATTAACTTATAAAGATATATGGTACAAAGCTGATATTGACACTTTACTGGACGTCATTGCATTAAGTGATGAATATTTAATGAATGACTTAAATTGTTTTGTTACCAACTACGTAGAAAAACACAGAATGAATTATATTACAGTACCGACAATTTACAGGTGGTCCTTAGAATCCGGTTTGAACTTTCTCAGAGTAGAATCGATAGCTTATGCACTTGTAGTTCAAATTCCTGATGTTGATAGGTTTAAGATGTTCGATTCCCTATTCGCTCTTGGGTATTCAGATGAAGTAGTAGATGACATTGAAAAGCTCCTTTTTAGATACTTGAATTCGTTTCAGAAATAATTTTGTGATATTACTTGTAAGAATGATAATATGGACTGAAAATAATATATTTATATGTCTAACTCTGAATGTATAATTAAATAATCTGAGATAGGTTTAGCCTCCTTTTCTTTAATTTTAGTTTAGTACCCGAATTTATTTTTATTTTTACTTCTGAAAGAAAAACTAAACATACATAGTTTTTAAGTAAAATAAATATTTTTTGTGTCTGGAGTTATTTCTCCCTGAAGTTTGGTCTGCAAATCGGGCAGGCATTCCTCCTTCTTAGCTCACTGATGATATTGTTCTGAAGCTATTTTCTTGTGGCATTGTAAATTAATTACTATTAAACTGGGAATAAGCCACAATTAAAGATAAAAATACGTTTATTGACGTTTCAATTTCCACTTCGGAAATCGTTCTCAAAATGATTAATTCACTGATGATATGCTAGATTGAGCTATACGGCATTCACTCCGTCTAAGAGGAAGATTTACTCATCTCACATCCATCCATGCTATGGCTCTACAGTAAAGATGGGCGTTATATAACGTATTCGGATAAATAACACTATTACCAATAAGTATTCGTTTTCTCAGTACTAGGTTACAGCAAACTGCCTATTATTTTTGTCACAGTGTAACTGGAACCTCTTTATACTGTGGTGTAACTACAACGTCCAAGTGTATTGTCAAGCTCTTTAACGACATCTACGATACGGGCCAGATTCCAAAAGATTGGCTTCGATCTACATTTATCGCCCTACCAAAAACACCACGTGCGAACTTCTGCAAGGACCACCGACTAATAAGCCTAATGAGTCACTTTTTAAAACTTTTCCTGAGAATACTTCACACTAGATTGTTTAAGAAATGTGAAGAGGTCAGCGGATGGAGTCAGTTTGGTTTCAAAAATGGACTTGGCACGAGAGAAGCAATCTTTAGTATGCAAACATTGATACAGAATTGTTTAGATCAAAGAAAAGATGTTTTTATCTGTTTCATCGATTACGAGAAAGCATTCGATAATGTAAAACACGAATTGATGATAAAATACCTACAAGAGTTGGGATTGGATGCAAAGGATATAAGAATCATCGCCAATCTGTATTGGAATCAGACAGCAACAGTACGTCTTCAAAATTCCAACGAAACAGAAGATTTCTCCATTAAAAAAGGAGTAAGGCAAGGTTGTATACTGTCCCCAATGCTGTTCAATTTATACGTAGAAAAAGCCTTCGCAGAAGCAGTGGAAGACTCTAATAAGGGTATTAAAGTTAACGGCATATTTATTAATAACATCAGGTATGCCGATGATACAGCCATAGTGGCAGATAACATCGAAGATCTTCAATGCCTTTTAAATGATCTAACTCTTGCAAGTGAAGCTCGGGGTTTGAAAATAAATATCAAGAAGACAAAATCAATGATTATAGGTAGAAATGATTACCCCAACGCAAAGATATATGTCTCTGGAGAAGAAATCGAATAAGTTAGGCAATTCAAATACTTGGGATGTTTGCTGAATGAGGGTTGGGACCCCGAGAATGAAATAAAGAGCAGAGTTGAACAAGCCAGAAATGCTTTTTTGAGGCTTCGTAAGTTTCTGACTGATCGCAAATTGGACTTCAACCTCCGATACAAGATGATTAAATGTTACGTGTGGCCTGTTCTCCTGTACGGAATGGAAGCATGGACGTTAAAGGCCAGTTCCATTAACAAACTTGAAGTGTTTGAAATGTGGTGCCTGCGTCGAATGCTCAGAATATCATGGACGGACAGGGTCAGAAATGAGGAAGTACTCAGAAGAGCGGGCTTACAGGATAGGGAACTTTTTAATTATGTAAAAAGTAAGAAGACTGCATACTTGGGGCACATTATACGAGGAGAGCGATACACTTTCCAGCAACTGATACTCGAAGGGAAGATAGAGGGTAGGAGAGGTCTCGGACGTAAAAAAATGTCATGGCTGCGCAATATTCGACAATGGACAGGAATCCACAGCTATGAAATGCTTCGCAATGCTGCTAAAAATAGAATTATTTAATCCAGAATATTTAACATCTCACCTGACAAGACGATGTACGGTGGACGCCTACGCAGAAATGCACGGCACCTTAAGAAGAAGAAGTAACTACAACGTTGGTATTCGAATCGGCATTCGGTATGTTGACGTGACAACATCGAACGATGGGAATCTCGTTCAATCGGTAACAGAATAGGATGGTCATTGTCACCGAATTTATGATGAGCTTTATGTTTTGCCACTTAAATAGCTGGGAATAATACCACCGTAAGCACGTACGATTATTAAGACAGACAGAGACTATGTTTATATGATTTATAATTTATAGTAATAAATATGTTTAATGTTTATTTTTAACAACCAACAAACCTATGAAGAATGTTTATCACTCATGGTTGAAACAAAAATAAACTATAAACAGTAGAAAGTATTCGTTTATTGAAAAAGATATTATGATTACTAAAAAAAACTATAGCAAGCCAAGCGGAATAGAGCTGTTTACAGCTTGGGTAATAGACGACAAAATTAATAGGTTACCGGAACCTATTACCTGTCTGTCACCGGGACGATGGAACCTATTACTACAAAGTAACTGTATTTTCCATGGCTACTCTACAGCCCAAACTGACGGAGACCTTTAAGAGTTACAGTGTGAAAGGTTTTCAACCATTTCCATTATATATATATATTATATATATATATATATATATATATATATATATATATATATATATATATATATATATATATAGTGTATATAACGACACTAAGAATACAATTGTTTGGTAGGTAACTTTCGAGAAAGAGTCAAATCAAGGATCGGCTAGAGATGGTATATGCCAGTTTGGTGTAGAACTTTATTCTAAATGTGAAATTTTCGGTGATAGTCTGTCACCTTCATGAGCACCTAAATGGAAAACCTATTTAGTAGAAGTGGTGGAAATCAACATTTAAAAACCTACATTGAAAATGTTTAGTTGGTCCTAGTGGACCACTATAGTGGTCCTAGTTATTACAAATATAATCAACAATAAACTTAATATACCTATCTTGCCGACCAATTTAGTTGATTGCTATCGACTAGGTAAAAAACAAAATTATGATAAGAGGCCAAGACCGGTAGTCGTTGTGTTTGTAAACAGATGGTTGAAAACAAAAATGTTTAATCCAAAGAAAAATCTTAAAGAATGCAGTGTTGTGATTAGTGAAATGTTTTCTCCTGATTGTCAGGAATTATTAAAAAAAGTGAGGACATATGTGGGTGCTAATAACTGCTGGTCATATCAATGTAAAATATATGTATCGCAAAATGGGTCAAGTAAGCTTATATTATCTGAAAACGACCTTGTTTTATTATAATTTAAATTTATTTTTATATATGTGGGATTGCAATTAGAGTTAATATTATTATTAGTTATAATGGTATATAGGCGAATTAAATTTATTTACTATTAGATTATTTTCTTTACGCTTAAATTAAAATTTAACTGTACATTTTGAGTTCTTTTGTAAAATATCCTTAGTTATAACGTGTTTTGAATTAAAGAGTTTTTTACACTGTTAATATATATCACCATGTGAATTACTGTTTATGTAAATAATAATCATCTACAAATTTTTGCTTAAATTGTTTACATATCAATTTAGTAAGGATCTAATCCAAGCATAACATGAGTAGTTTAAAGTGTGCTCATATAAAGTCTAGATCGCTAGTTGCGCATTTTATTGATGTAAAAGAACTTATTTTAAAAAATGATTTAGATATTTTGAGCGAGTCGACAGGAATAAAAATGACACAGGTGTAGATGTAGGTATTTACATAAAATGTAATATAAATTATGTGCTGATTGAGTCATCAAATGAAATTGAACAGATATGGTTAAAACTCTCTCTTCGATATGAAACACTAGCTATCGGTCTTTTACATAATCCTTATGGATCATTTTATAAAACTTTCTTTGGAATTTTGGAAACAGTTTTATCATCAGCACTGCCAAGTGTAGATCATTTACTCTGTTTGGGCGACTTTAATGTTGATCTGTTAAATACCAATAATTATTCCACACAGTTCATTACAGATGTATTAGATGGTCTTGGACTAAAGCATATGATAAATCAAGCAACTAGAATCACCCAGTTCACATCGACTCTGCTTGATTATGTAATCACATCTACCGAGGATAAAATTTTGTCTATTGAAGTAAAACATATCCCAGAAATAAACGATCATGAAATGGTTATTTTAAAATTTGGTTGTGATCTCAAAACTAATACAAATAAATTTATTACTACTCGAAATTTCAAAAAGTTAAATTACAGTCAATTTAAATCTGATCTGAAATCTATACCATGGAGAATAATATATGAATTGCCAGATATAGACAGTAAAGTCGATTTTCTCTCTAATAATATCATTACTTTACTTGACGCACATGTTCCATATCATATTTTTAGAATCTCAAAGAAATATGCTCCATGGTTAACTAATACTATAAAGTAATTAATGTTAGATAGGGATAAAGCACTTACTGCTTACAAGTTTACTAAAAATATAAATTAATGGAATGACTACAAAGTATTGCGTAACAGCCATGACTATAAGGGAGAAAAAAATCAGATTTTAAAAACATACATGATAAATCTACTAAAGATATGTGGAATAATTTAAAATATTTGGTAAATAATTGCAAATAAAAAAATAACTTCGAAATTAAAAACGTGTGGAATGCAAATGAGATAAATAAACACTTTATTGAAGTCATACCAAACATGAAAACATACATTGATACACAAATATTCTATGAAAATAACTTTAAGCATTCCATCAGTTCTTCTCTTGCCTTTAAACCAGTATCTGACATTAATACTTTACATATTATTAATAATATTAAAAGTAAAGCTATTGGTGATGATGGTATTAACATATTTCTTCTACCGTATATCACACATATCATTAACTTTTGCTTAACAAATTCAATTTTTCCCACTAAATGGAAATGGGCACATGTTATTCCTTTACCGAAGACTAAAATTGTATGCCTACATTATTGTAAGTGTACTGCCTACATTATCTAAAATTTTGGAAAAGGTG